TGTCGGGCTGTCATCTCGCCGAGGGCGCGCGGGGGGGCGTGCTATGTGTGACGATGTGGGGAAGGCAGGGAGGCGAAGGGGGAGGTGTGCGCGAGCTGCTTTGTGTTTGTTCGCGCCTGCCCTATCGTCCCACTTTCTCTCTGTCTGTGTTTTTTTTTTTCTCGCTCTCTCTCTCTCTGTCTCTGTCTCTCTGTCTCTGTCTCTCTCTCTGTCTCTCTCTCTCTCTCTCTCTCTCTCTCTCTCTCTCCCTCTCTCTCTCTCTCTCTCTCTCTCTCTCTCTCTCTCTCTCTCTCTCTCTCTGTCTCTCTCTCTCTCTCTCTTCGCGCCTATATCGACTAGGGCTAGCTAGCTAGCTGGCTGGCTGCCTGGCGAGCAGACTGCAGAATACAATCGCTGACTCTCTCTGCCTGAGGGCGAAGGGCATCTCCCCGTGGCAGCAGGCGCAAGGGAAGCCTCTTTCCCGCAAGTAAAAGTCGACAGCCCTGAGCACAGTAAAGCACAAAGACTCAAATGCGAAGCTCTGCACACACATGCGCAAGTCGCAACTCAGCAGCTGGAGAGGATGTGATTTGAGAGGTGTCGCATCGCCACGGCGCGCATGAGGCAGCCTCGCCAGCCTGCGAGGCTGACAAGGTCACCAAAAGCCCTTTTTTCGGCAATGCATGCATCGCCACGCAAAAGGCGGAAACAGCCGCATCTTCCCCGACGGCAGCAGCAGCGGCTACACAGGTCGGAGGGAGAAGATCTCCGGAGGCAGAGCTGACGCCGCCTCGAAGAAGATGCACCCAGCGACGCACACAGCTAAACACACTCGCCCCACAGTCAGACAGGGGAATCAGCAGCTGCCACTGGCTTCCGCAGACCAACCACAGCAGCCCATCGACAAGGCAAAAGCCAGCACCTGCATGCAGCAAGCGTGTTGCAGAATACGATCGTCTGCTCCATTTGCGCGGAGGGGGCCCCCAATGCCTCCACAAGCTGCGGGAGGCCCCCTGAGGCACCCATCGGAAGGAAGTGCTGTTTGCAGCTCGCAGACACCGAATGCAGGGTGCCACATACAACTGTATCCAACACGTCTGATAATCGTATGCCACTGCGATCGGCCTCCTCGTGGCTACTGTTGCTGCTCATGTTGCTCATGTTGCTCATGTTGCTCATGTTGCTCATGTTGCTCATGCTGCTCATGTTGCTCATGTTGCTCATGCTGTCTTCCTTGCCATGTAGTAGGAATTGTGTTTCTGAGCCGTGAGGCTCAAAGTGCCTCAAGAATGCAGCGAGCGCCCCCGAGTAGGCTGCTCCCACGAAGACTAGCTGAACGGCCTTGCTGTTGGCAGCGCTGCCTTCGCTGAGGCTTTTGCTGGCGATCAGACGACGCTGCTGCACGACGAGGCTGAGAATGAAGCGCGTTTCGTTCGCGTAGAAAGAGTCGCACAGGGTGTCTGCCTCCTCGACGACGAGCTGCTGCAGCTGCTGGAGGAGCACGTTTCGCTTCTTCAGATGCAGCAGCAAGCGAGCTGGCGTGCAAATCGCGATGTCGACACCTTTCCGCAGAGCTCCCACCTCTGCTGCGTAGCTGCCGCCTCCCGCCAACACGCAAGCAGAGAGGGGCCCCCCGAGGGGGGCCCCCCCCAAGCGAGCCTTGCTGCTGCCGCAGCGGCCACTTAAGGCACTGATATCCGTGACAGACGCAAACCCTGCGAGAGGGGAAATCGCGCTCGTGTAAATCTGCTTCGCGAGTTCCCTAGTAGGTACGAGGATAATTAGCCGAGGGCAGTGAGGCTGCGCTGACCTCCCACCAGCCGCAGCAGCTGCAGGGAGCTGTCCATACAGCCGAGAGAGCAGCGGAAGCACGTAGCTGAGCGTCTTGCCGCTGCCAGCGCTTGCCAGGAGAAGCAGACTTCGACCCTGGACCGCAACAGGCGCATATACACCCGGGAAAAGCATCTCGCAAGGCAGCAGCAAAACTGAAAAACCACAAGGCGAAATTCGTGAAACACCCTCTACGTCAAAGGCGCACAGGCAGGTGCATCTGCAGAAGCGGAAAGAATGCAGGGGGGTCAAACGCATGAGCTGCAGAAGCAGAAAGAATGCAGGCAGTAGCGGCAGAAAGAATGCAGGCAGCAGCAAGAGAAAGAATGCAGGCAGTAGCGGCAGAAAGAATGCAGGCAGTAGCGGCAGAAAGAATGCAGGCAGTAGCGGCAGAAAGAATGCAGGCAGTTGCGGCAGAAAGAATGCAGGCAGTAGCGGCAGAAAGAATGCAGGCAGTAGCAGCAGAAAGGCAGTGCAACCCGATCCTCGTGCACAAGGCAGCGGAAGGGAAGCAACGAAAACACGTGCTGATGTAGAATCTCTCGACAGCTGCAGAGGAAAATGATGCTGGGAGTTTCTACGCTGACGGGACTGCTGTAAAGGAACCAAAAGCATCGTCACGCAGCGACGATAGCGCAAAACGGCAGACGCGCAAGCAGATATATGTATATCTATAGCGGCAAGGAGGAGAAAATGCGCAGATGAGACAGAGGGATTGAGGCAGACAGGCGGAAAGGCCTTATTTAGGGGTTTGGACCTGTTGCAATGGAGGAATCGCTTTCTCCTGAATTTCCGTGGGCTGCAACAAGCCCATCCTACTCAGAGGGAGGAGTAGAGCCTTAGGCAAGCCAAACTGAGCAAAGGTTTGACGCGCTGCAGCAAACAAACCCTCTGAACTGCTGCTTGGCGTGCTACTTGGGTTGCTGCTGCTACTGCCGCTGGAGGCTGTGGGGGCAGCGGCAAAATCTTTCTGCCGTCCCCGACGGCTCCGGAGAGGGGTGTTGCTGTTGTTGTCGCTGCTGCTACGGGTGGTGTTCGAGGCAAGGCTGAGATCCTCATCAGTACAGCTGCTGCTAGTGCTGCGAGGAGCGAAGTCTTCGGGGTTTTCCTGCCTGGGGGCAGTATGAAGGTTCCTCCGCAGCGTGCCTGAGCAGCCGAAGGCGAGTCGTTTCTGCACTGTGCAGTTCAGCGGCTGGTGACGCCTCAGAGCCGTGACAGAAGGAAGGGGGTGGAGGCTTGCCAGCAGCAGGAGCTGCGAGAGCTGCCCTTGTCTGCAATGCGGCAAGACTCTAGGCCCTCTGCAGCAGTTCGAGGGAGAAGCCGTGGCTAAAGCGACGCGCTGCGCAGCGCCTGCCATCTGCTGTAACGGAAGGCAACCTCGGAGGCGACAGGGAGGGAGTTCTCGCGCTGCTGCTGGCACGCCAGCTGCTGACTCTGTTGAACGCCAGGCCTGTACTACCACCCCCTCTGGGGGGGCCGAAGGAAGCCCTTATGAAATCCTTTGGCAATTCAAAAAAGACGACAAACATTTCAGTAAGAAACCGAGAAGAAGTTGCTCTCCACGGAATGGTGGACCAGCAGAGTGGCCGCTTTTAGGGGCCCCCCGGGGCCCCCTGCAAAAATCGCCCCCACAGAGCTCAGCAAAGGGGGCCCTAAAATACTTCCCGAACAGCACAGGCAGACAAAAACATTATTATCATTATGTATGTTTTCCTTTTTAGGGATAGAGCGCGTGTTGCCACATTTTCACATGCAGTTACACCCCCCGCGGTACACCTTGATGCACAATCGGGGGGTAGCGAGTTGACAGCCCATGGCAAAACGATCTGCCGCGTGTCCGTTCCGCCACTGGCAAACTCTCCTCCTTAGTGGCTTTTTAGCGCATCACAGTGTATCGCCATCCATGGAAACGGAATAACCACCCAGGAACGTGCAGACTCTCTAGACGTCACCTAGACCCCGCGTGAAAAACCATCAAGTGCTGCTCCCCGTAGGCCTTGTAGAACTCGATACTCTATAGACACCGGAACTATATGTTTATATAGGGCTCTTTCTTCGCAGCTTCCAGACTCAGGCGCCCCCCATCCCCCGAGTAACACAAGACACCCCACGCCCGTAAAGGGGGCCACCCTTCGATGCAGCTGCTTCTCTTCGCTGTAGCGTCACTCCACTCGATCGCTTACCCTAACACCTCTACGTTGCGCTGCAGCAGCAGCAGCAGTTCCTCACTCATACGCAAATGGTGCCACGACCCCCGCCTGAACGAAGGGCTTCGCGTGGGTGCATGCTGCCGTAGCGGCATAAATCCCAGCAGCAGCACGTCGCACTGTATGCGTTATTAGCGCCGCTGCTGCGCCTTCCTCCCGCGGTGCATGCAGAAGGCTTCCCCGTGCGGCGCAGCCGTAAAAACACCAGAGAGTACACCTTTCCCTCTGACACCCACCTACCTACCCACCCCGACGCGCTGTTTTGCTGCTAGGTTCCCCCTGCTGTCGGCGCATGCGCTAACTGCTGCTCTATGAGCAGAAAGCACCACTCTGATCCAGCACGTGTGCACCAGCAGGAGTGGAAGCAGCAGTACAAGCCCCAACAGCCTCAGCTTTGCCATTAGTTGCCGGCCTAAAGGGCAGTCAGTCAGTCTCCTCTCTGCACTTTCCATCGTGCCTGGGGTGTGCGTCTGTGCTGCGCGAGCAAGCGAGCGCTTCCTTTACCCGCCTTTGGCCTCCCTCGATCGCTCTACGCCTTGGCCTCCTCCTTTTGCTTCTTCTTGTTCTTCTTGGGATTCAGAGAAACCGCAAGAAGTGCACGCAACTCCTCGCTCTTGAGCTCTGGAGCCCTCAGCAGGCGCTCTTGCGCGAACGGCAGACCTGTAACCTGCACATCGATACGACCACACGCGGCGCAAACGGCTATCTGTGACGCACTGAATACATTTTAAGCCGAAAAGCACGTGCAGCAAAGACGCCAAGGGGGGAAGGCGAGGCCCCCTGCGCGCCGCCTGTGTGGAAGAAGCGACGCCACACGCCCGAGGAAGAGGTGAAAGACGAATCAGCATGTATGTGTCAGGACCCCCCCTTTTTCTGCACACCTTCTTGATCCCAGAGGCAGCGATATGCACAGTAAACTTGAACTCGGCAGTCAACTCCCCGGCCTTATCTGAAAAGCACACGCCGCAGAACCCGCCAAGGGATGCGGCTAGATGAACTAAACACAGAGCAAGCGGATCACGCCGAGTCTGCAGTGCAACACCCCCTACACCCCGCTTTCCGCCACGGAGCAGCGAGACTGCGCATGCACACGAAGCAGGCACAGATGAAGACGAAAGCCCTTCGTTTGCACTTCGGCTTACCCTGCATGACGGCATACGGGATAAGAAGCTCATGGCGCATGGCCTCGGCAACCCCAACCTTGCACGCCCTCTCGTCAGACAGCTGACGGAGAGAAAAGGGCAGAGTCGGGAAGTCTGCAACCACAGGAACACATGCTGCAAAAACCTCAGCTTCCTTCCCCGCTGTCGTGGAGCGTATACCGCAGATGTAAACCGTCATGGGCCATGCCCAACTCGAGAAGAAGAAAACAGCCTTCTCAGAAGGCGGCTCACGCAACTAGCCCGCCACGTTAGCGCCCCGCGCCTCCTCGCGTTACAATATGCATACATATAAAAAGATATATGTAAACTCGTGTACTCTTGCATTACCGCCTCTCTTTTTGCTCGCTCTGCCACCCTGCTTCCCATCACGGCAAGTCGCAGCCCCTCTGCTGAGCGCTCGAGGAGAAACTTACTGTTTTCAACTTGGCTCATAAAGGCCCTCCCCAGTTGACTCTTCAGAATGTACTTTCGCTCAACTGCACGGCGGAAGACAGTGGGCCGCAGTTCCGCTTCGCGTGCCTTGCCTTCACCTGAAGGCGCACATGTTCCTCAAATCCGAAAGGTTGCCATGATGCAATGCGCAAGACAGCAGTACCGACGCGCTAGACACTTCCCCCCCTTGCAATGTAAATGCATATCAAATTCAAGAAAAACGCATGTCGAAAAGTCGCCACGGAGAGACCCCTGTCGAAATTCCCCTGTACGCCGCAGAAGCGAGCGACCCCAGGTGTACGTACACCGGGGCCACGGGTTCCCGAGAGGCCACAGCACACACCATGGGGGAGCGAATAGGGAGCTCCCCTTCATGCGCGAAACGATGAGCAATACAACACTCCCTCCCGTCCTACAAAAGAGCCAAACAAAGGAGGAGGAGAAGGTACTCCCCAACCATTCATAAGCGACACCCTAATAAAAGGACCTGTTGAGAGGACGATGTCAATTGCATAGACCTCGTTCGGCTCGAATGCGAAATCTTCTTGCTGCATCCAACCACAGCCACGACAAACACACGCAACATAAACCTTGCATGCTCGCCAGAAAGCACGACGGCAAGGGAACCGGCTTCCCACTCCTGTCCTCACAAGAAGCCACGCCTTCTGACGCCAACTGCATTACGCTCAGTTGCAAGGCTGTACAGACACCTTTTCCTCCACCTCCTGCTGCTAGTACGCAGCCCCTTCCTAAGCTGTGTGCCTACCTTCTCCTCGCCTGTCGCCGTAACAATAGGGAAACAACGGCTGCCCTCAATGACGTGCTGCTTCAACTGGTGACAGAGGACTCCCTGCAGTGCAACATCATGAAGATGCAACAACAGCGGTGTGACCCCAAAGCCGTTCACGGCCCTGCTCTAAGCGCCTTTTTTCGCAGGCAACTGAGAGAGCCACGCTGCATGCGAAAAACGAACTTTTCTCGACATTGGTGCGACAAAAATAATGCACCTTCAAACATGATTTTGCATACATATACATATGTATATATGTATATATGTTTGTTTGGACAGCGCGCTAGGTAGATGAGCTCCCCCAAAGACGTTCTCCCTCCACACCGCACGCACACCTCCACGTTCCCCCCTCCCCCCCCCACATACACACGGTAAAGTAATAGAAGGACTGACAAACAGTTTGAAAATCCCCCGTGTTGTTCCCTCGACACACGCAGACACGCATGCACGCATGCACGCACACCACAGCTTCCTGCGAAAAACCCTGCCGTCTCGCCTACTGTATATTGCACTCCAAAAGAACCAAAAGGGGGAATATCGATGCAAAAACGAAGAGCAACCAAGGCTCGCGCTTTTTACGGACTTGCATAGGCTTCACACCCATATCCTCCGCAACTGCCTCGATCGCTTTGGTGACGTCGCTCGCTTTCGCGCCGACTTCAACTTTCCGCAGGGCAGCCTCAGCAGCAAACCATGCAGCTCGCAGCACTAAGGCTGCTGAGCCTTCAACGCTCGTTAGAGCCTCTGCTCCCGCAGCCTTCGCCTCCTCTTGTTGCTGGCAATACTCCTCGCTGGCAGGGGGGGCAGCAGCCAAAGCCTCAGTGGCTGCTGCCGAGGCTTCTGAGCCCCCAGCTGCAGCTGCAGCTGTGCTCACGAAAGCAGCTGCATTGCCGCTGCAGCACACGACGGTGTAGGCTCCAGTGGCGATAAAGCCGTCGATGTGAGCACCCAAATCAACCTTCACGAGGTCTCCCTTCTTCAGAATCCGAGAGGACGCCCTATCCGCAGGCGAACAGTTCGCAAATACTTCATTGACTGAAATGCTGGTGGGAACGGCAATGCCTGCAACACGAAAGCAAGCGAACCAGCGCACGTGGGAGGGCATAGCAATAGGCACACAAGTTTCCACGTCGCCGTCGACGACTCTTCACGTGCTGCTGCATAGTGAGTGGATTTACTTCTTTCTGCCAGTGCATGCATGCCCTCCACGCTCGCGCTAAAACCCAACCCCACAGATCCCCCCTTCTTCCCCCTGCCTCGACCAAGCCCTCCTCCTCCTCCCCGCCTCCCTTCTCCCCTCTCTGCCCAGAGCTCAGCTCAGCGCCTCTCCTTGCCTTTCTCGATCTTCCGCTTGGACTTGTCTTTCTTCTGATACACCTTCTTAGCCTCGCCAGCGATGAAGCTATCCCCCAAGACACACAACTCGAAGGCATCCGCACCGGGAACTACGCGGCTAAGTACCTGCAGACAGGAGAAACAGATCGACATACAGACAGATACACACAAAGGCTGCACATGAATGCACGTTCCCACGTGCAGAAACAGAGACCTCGATCGCTGCTGAATCCGCCCGTAGCATGCGCGAAGGATGCCACCACGCTAATGAACCCCCCGAACAGAAAAAACGATCCTCCCATGAAAAATACCGACCAGTCTGAGCGCCGCATTGGCGATATCTGCTGCAACCTTGAACTTTTCCAACGCCTGTGGGGAATTCAACTCCTGGGGACCCTCCTCCCGCTCCCCATCGCTCAGCTCGTGATCGCTCATCCTCACGGCAACAACTGCCACGCACAGACATAGAGAAACACACGCAAACACATGAACGCACATACGCATAAACACACACACACGCGTATCTAAGAGAGAACGACCACGTCCGCATCTGTGCCCTTGAGAGAATGCAGACCAAGGCGTGGCTTGGAACAGGCTTGGAGCGGCACAGCATGCAAGAAATACCAAGCACTCTGCACAGAAACGCTGCAAACAAGTGGCTATAGGAAGCTGCGCTTCCCGAACTCCCACTCTCACTCGCATGCATGATGAACAAACGAAATGCCAAGCAGCCGCATGCTCCACCCCGCCACAACACAAGGTTTCGCGCGGGCGGCAAGATGATCGTCACTCATGAAAACATCTCTCATATACAGCCAAAACTGCAAGAAAGCACCGCTCATGATGAAGCAGTACTGTTCCACACACACACACGCGTAGGCGCCATGTGGGCAGGCAGAAGCATGCAGGCAGGCAGAAGCACCCTGCGGCGAGAGCTGCCAAAAAGCCGATCGAGGAGTCTAGAAAGCGCATGCAAGCCACGTAGGCAGCACCCTACGATCTGCCGATGCAGCATCCCCGACACGGGGGGGAAGGGGGGGCTATACAGCTCGCAGCAGCAGCGGCATCCCCCGAGGAAGAAGGCAGATCCGTCAACACGCAGCAGCGCGGCAGCGTGTTTACGCAGCGAAGAGCACACATAGCCACTAAAAGAAACTGAAATGCTGCACATGTATACATAATATACAGCCTTCGCCGCAATCCCGGGCAGCCGCAGCACCAGCACGCAACACCGCATACTTCAGCGCCGCAAAAGGCTCTTCTCCTGTAAATACTCACTTGCGCAGAAGTCAATGTTTGGTTTTATATCGGGTGTACAGACACCCAATACGCAGCAGCAAGCCTTCTCTCGAAGGACGCGTGGGGTGGCGATGCGGGGCGGTGCTGCTGCTGCTGCTGCAATGCGCCAAGGCGAGCTAAAGTCAGGGATGCCAATAAACCAGAAACTGCCAGCCTCGATGCACCCCAACAAAACAGAGAATCCCAAATGCCTCCTCGACCGAATCGGAGCTGCTGCTGCTGCTGTTGCTGCGGCTGCCGCTGCTGCGGCTGCTGCGGCTGCTGTTGCTCTCCACGACGCAGCGGAGCAGCAGCAGCAGCAACTACAGCAACCCCCTCGTAATGCATGCGCGCTATTGCGGCTGTGTGTATTCATCGCCAAAAAACGCATGCAAGTTCTCAGACAGGCAATTTAGTTTTAGGCTTCGTGCTGCACAGGTGTCTGCATAGCAGCAGATATCGTGCGGTGCAGACTAGAAGGCTGCCACCTCCCTGCCAATTCATGGCTTTGGTCGTTGAAACACAACGCGACGCAATCACCAGCAGCCTGAGCTGCACTCTCAGCATACTTTTTGCGTCTGCTCAAGCGTAGCAGCAGTGCCTGCATACCCTGCAGCAACGGCAAGAGAAACAGCAGCGATCACAGAAGCAGCAGAAATAACAGCAACCGTAACAGAAACAACAGCAGTAAGAGCGACAACAGCACCACATTCCAAGATGCAATCTACCATTTTTCGCGCCGCCGCTGCACTTCGCAATGCAGCTGTGATGTTTCAAAAGCCGCAGGAGCATCAAAAACTGCTGGGACGCTTCACCAGATCTTCTCGGAGCAGCAGCAACGGAAGCAGCAACAGCAAAAACATCTTTTACGGCAGCGGGTGCTTGTGTGTTCTCGGATCACCTCTGGCCTTTACCGATTGGCAGCCTCGCGAACCGAAGGGCGAGACATTTCTCTACCTTTCAGGCAACGCCATCGGAGGACTAACGGAAAGGATTTTTGAAAATGAGGTTGGTGCCGCTACTGGTGCTGCTGCTGATGATGATGAGGATGACTAATCCCCCTACCCCCATGAGGAGCCTCCCCATTTCGAGTGGTGCTGCTGCCAGTTACTTCTCCTGCCTGCACCTGCTACTACTGCAGCTGTTTATGGTGCTACTGCAGCCGTTTATCCTGCTGCTGCGGCCAGCAGTGCGACCCCCCCTGCTTCCGCGTGTATTGCTGCACCTCGACTGTCTGTACTGCTGGTGCTTCTCAGGCTGGACAGTCTCTCTTCATGGTGGTGTTGTTTATTGTGTACTTGGCATTGCTAGGCCATGAGGGCAAAGTGAACGGTGCAGTTCATAGGCTGAAACACACAGTCGCCACCAACTGGCAGCTGCCTGTACACCGCAACTACATGCACGCGCTGCCCCCAAACCCCCTCTTGCAGCAGCAGCGCGCTGCTGCTGCGGCATCCAAGAGGAGTGCTAGCAGCAAGTGAAATTTTCCACGCTGCACGTCACACTGCTGTAAAGCAGCTTCGGCATAGCAGCGCCTGGCGGGGGCGGTGAAGACGCTGGTTTTTCTTGCCTGCTGAAGTAGAGCTGCCCTTTCGGATTGCACGCTACTTGGTATGGGGAAACACGGTCTGTACTGGACACATTGAGAGAGAGGGAGAGATTCTGGCAGTGCACCAAGGCCTACTGCTGGGAGGCACGGGCTTCATAGGCGATCACCGCTGCGCGGCTGCCACCGCTGCTGCTGCACGCAGCAAGGAATAGTGAGGAGGAGTTTTGGGTAGGAGAGACCACTTAGACGAGCCCTGACGCCTTCACGTTCAGGTGTATGGACGGCTGGAGCCGCTCTTTTGTGCCCCTGTGCATGCAAACCGTTCAATCTGTATTCAAGCAGCAACGAGGCGGTGTGAATACGTATACACGTATATGTATAGGTATCTATACGAGTCTAGTGTGCAGCAGCCAGCTAGCCAGTGAGCGCTTCGGAGGTAGCTACACTCCGGATGTGACCGACAGCGTAGCCCCTTGTACGGAGGCTCGAAAGCCTCCAGCTGGCAGCCAGCGTGCCGGCAGTCCCGGTGCTTTCTGTTTGGATGGCTAGCTCTCCCGCGCGGCCGCTAGCGATTGTAGGTTCGACGTCTGCGAGGCGGGCTAGGTACGAAAGCCTCGAAAGGGGCATGGATAAGCGAACTGAACGGCTCCATATGCAGCACGGAGGAAGAGGACGGGTAGAGAGAGAGAGAGAGAGATAGCTGAATACAGGGGCAGAGGAGAGAGAAAAAAAATTGAGATATATATATATATATATATATATATATATATATATATCTGAACACTGGGGCAGACGGGGGGCATGAGGGACGGAGGGAGCACCTCGTCCTATGCGCTCCCCGCTACGCCTCGTGGGCAGCAGCGGGGGAGGCCCTTGTCGCCATGCATAAGATATATACATATATATGTATATGTGCATGCAGCATGTGTGCAGCAGGGATCGGCTGTATCGACGCTCGACGCGCTATTGCAAACTGTGCTGCTGAGCCTGTCTCGCCAAGCACCTGCAGCTGTCAAGCCTCGACGAGCATGCGGACTTGAGCATCAGCACGGAGGTAGGTGTCTTGGTGTCTGCCACGGCATCCCTGGTTGGTTGAAGCCTTTGTGACCTCTTTGATGTCGCGGCTGCTCGAGGAAAACGAGGGAGGACTTGACTGCAGCATTGTAGATTTCCAGAAAGGGGTGCTGCAGCAGCGTTTCAGCCGTTGGTCGCTTTCCACTCGTACGGTGCAAACAGCAGCTCAAAAAGTCTCTAAAGGAACGCACATGCGAGGCAGACACAAACAGAAAAAAGTCAGCCTCTCCTCGAGAGGAGACTTCGACGTCTTGAGAGAGGAAGCGGCTCAAGCAGAGACACAGAAACAGTGTCATGACAATGACACAAAGCTCCCCCTTCGTCCCCCCCCGCCCCCCCCGCGCATATATATGTATATGTATATATATATATATATATGCACACATCCACATACATACATCCACACACGTACATACATACATACATACTTACACATATATACACATACATGCATACATACACATCCACATACATATACATCCACATCCACACACATACATACATATACATCCACATCCACACACATCCATATACATATACATCCACATCCACACACATACATACATACATATATATACACATACATACATATACATCCACACACATCCACATCCATACATACATACATACACATCCACATACATACATACACATACATACACCTAAAAAGCAAAATCAAAAGCCTCGGGAGACCTTTCGGGGGAGGGATGGGGGGCAGCAGTCACGCAGAAAGCCCGTCAAAACTGTTAGAAGACGGGGGAACTCGTATCCTCTTTCGCAAACGGCGGGAAGGGCAGCTACTGTCACGCATGCAGATGGTTGGTGTGAGGAGGGGGAGACTGTCAGCCTTGGCAGCGCAAAAACTGCGTTTTTAGGCAGACTACGACCAAGCACACTTGCCCTCCTACCTCCGCAGCACGCGTGTTTTGCCATTTCCCCTCTTTCCTGCCTTTGCTGAGGCGTGACACCCACCTGAAGTGAGAAGACATGCCATTGAGCTTCTCTTTGATGGCGACATTGTGCTGAGCCTCTGCCGTTATTTTCTCAGTCCATCCCTTGGATGTGATGTTCCTCATCACCTCTTCCTCTTGCACCATACACTGCAGAAAGAGCAGCAGCTTTCAGCAACATCCTTTGTGACAGCGGTAGACACTAACGACCGCGCACAGCCAACGGCAGCAACCCTTCGCAGATAAACACTTGCCTGCACTCCCTTGCCCCCCTTTGCCGTCACCCACAAATGCAGCTCCAGCTGCAACAGCAACAGCGTCACTGCCATCATCACTAGCAGCAACACTACCACCAGCATCACCACCATCATCACTACCACCATCATCACCATCATCATCACTAGCAGCAACATTACCACCACCAACAGCAACAGCATCACTACCACCATCATCGCCACCATCATCACTAGCAGCAACACTACCACCATCATCACCACTACCACCATCATCATCACTAGCAGCAACATTACCACCACCAACAACAACAGCACCTGAGAGCCGAAGGGGGGTGCCTTGAAATACAATTCAAAGGCCAAGATACCGAGCATCCAAATATCGCTTTTTTCATCGAAGCTACTGCCGATGCCACTCCCTGCATTGTGGAGTGCCTCAGTCAGCTGTTGCTGCTGCTTTTGCAGCTGCTGTAATTGCTGTTGCTGCTGCTGGTTTGATTGCTGACCTCCCTGCTGTTGCTGCTGCAGCTGGCGTCGCCGATCCGCAGCCATACACCGCATGCGCGCTAAGCACTGCTCTGGAGAGAAGTAGTCTGCACGTTCAAAAGCAGGAGGGCAGCAGTGAAAGAGGCACATCGTGAAGCAAATGCAGGAGGAAGACGAGGAGGATATGCATCTAGACACCCGCAGCTGCTGCTGCAGGAGCAGCAACTGCAGCAACTGCTGTTGCGGGTGTCTAGATGCATGTCCTCGTCCTCCTCCTGCTTTTCCGCATTGCGTGTTGCTTTTCTTGTGCTACTTGACAGCAGTCTAAAAAGCCTAGTTGCTATTACATATTTTCCGAAGGTGTGCTGCGCTCTGAAGAAGGATCGAAAATGGAGCGGATTCCCCCCAGGGAAACTCACCGCAAGTGCCTCTGTTGATGGATACACCACGTTTTCTGTGAGCGCCACCTATGTGTGCAGACAGACCAAAGTCTGCCAGCTTGAGATAGCCTCTTTCATTGACAAGAACGTTTTCCTGAAGGCAAGCAGGTGACGCAGGCAGCGGAGACAGACAGAGACAGAGAGCCTTTCGAGGGAAGGCAGAGACCGTATAGCCACACGGGGGAGGTGGGGGGGCGCGAAACAGCCCGACCATCACTGTAGCCGCTGTTGTTCAACAACAACCCCACCAACAACCCCACCAACAACACCTCCACTTTGGAGGTCCTCGGCACACGAAAAGGCTTTCCCCACAGATCCAAAGAAGCGAGAAGAAGAGAGGCAAAGAGGCACGCCCAACAGCCGCAACAGAACGTTTCGCGATAAGGCCGAAAACAAGGCAGGAAGGAAAATACGCAGAGGAAAATAGCAAGAGAGCAAAAACGGAAGGATACGCAAAAAAAGCACTTGCCAGAGGTAGCCGCGACAGCCACACACACTCACAGACACACACAGACACAGAGGCACACACAGATACAGACACACACACATATACAGACACACACACAGATACAGACACACACACAAATACAGACACACACACAGATACAGACACACACACACAGATACAGACACACACTCAGACACAGACACACACACACGCGCTGGCCTACGCGTTGTAGGCTTCCTTCGAGCGCTACGCTACATCAGAAGGACGCGATGTGGGTGCAGGAGTTGCCGGCAAGGCGGAGGGAGTGATAAAAGAGAGAAAGACAGCAAAGAAGGGAGGCGAAACGAAAGGATCACGATGAGGAGGGCAGCAGGTAGAGAGGCAGCCGCGCACAGTTCGCTTGCACCCTAGTGCAGAGGCACCTCCGGGAAAGGCTAGATTCACGCTGGCGAGTGTTTGGGAGGGGAAGGACTATTACAGGTTTGATGTCGAGATGAGCAATGCGTTTGTCATGGCATGTGCGTATAGCCCATGCGATCTGGAAAGCCATGCTGAAGCGCAGAGACAGTTTTTGCACAAGGCTGTGACAGGGGTGGAGAAAGCACTTCTCAAACGCCTCTCAGAGGGTTCTGTTCTCTAGCCTGGAGTTGGTTGGAGGTTGGTGGGGATGAAATGGAAGAAGAAGCAGCAGCAGACGCAGACTACTGCCGGAGAGAAAGGCTAATTAGAGAGGTGGTGATGGGGAGGAAGAAGAAGCAGCAGCAGACGCAGACTACTGCCGGAGAGAAAGGCTAATTAGAGAGGTGGTGATGAGGAGGAAGAAGCAGCAGCAGACGCAGACTACTGCCGCAGAGGAAGGCTAATTAGAGAGGCGGTGATGAGGAGGAGGAGTAGGTTGACTAGAGAGGCATGAATCGCAGACGAGGAGGAGCCTTTGAGAGCAGCAGCAGCAGCAGCACGAGGGGCAGTGGGTTGGAAGCAGACAGCAAGGAGCGAGAAAGTGCAGGAGCGATTTACCGAGCAACTTGTTCTTCTGAGAAGCCATTTTGTGTTTCATCAAGGCGACTGAAGAGGTCTCCTTGATGACAGTATTCCATCACGAGGAAGACAGTTGAAGGCGTCTGAAACCAGCCATACATGCTGAGTTCCCCCACGCAGCAAAAAGCGAAGTGTCTAGACAAGGAGCCGACGGCAAACAGGAGAGCAGGTAGTATTTTAGACAGGTAGAAAGACACGAGGGGGGGAGCAGAGAAAGTCATTGGTGCGGCGTTGGCGAAGAATGTTCAAGAGATGAAAAATGCGAAGGGCAGAAGCTGGTGGAGTGCGCAGTAAGGAGTGCAGCACCGCTGTACAGGCTGTGCCTTTGCTCGGGTGTAAAGTGAATTGAGGGGGCTCGCACACACAGGCGGCACAGACAGAACGACGCCTAGAGTGAGCGAGAGGGAGGGGCAGCAAAGGCAGAAGCGCAAGTCTGGAGACGTCAACACGTATAGGGGGAAAGGGGGGGAGGAACAGAGATACACTGCCTGCATCAGCAGTCATTCCAAGACTAGCACCCCAAGAAAGCACGAGTAGGTGTTGTTAGAGAAAGCGAGAGAGAAATAGAGAGGGAAAAAATGAGAGAGAAAGATAGAGAGATAGAGAGAGACACAAGTAGTACCAGCATATGTGCGGATGCTTGAGGTGTGCCTGCAGCTCCACTTCCTTTTTCAAGAGAGCCTCATTGCCTCCCCTACAGCGGAAATGGGAAAAGAAAAGCAGCGAAGGTGAGAATATGAGGAAGGCTGGTCGATGCCACAGAGCGCAGAAGGCTGCGAGGGGCACCGATGCGGCAGCACAGGAAAGGGAAATTTGGGCTGAAGAGGTGGTAATAAAGGGGGGGGTTGGGGGGAAATAAAGGGGGGTGAAACGGGAGAGACTTTTCCGCTACCAGAGAGAGAGCTCGAGAAAAACACTGCGAAAAGCGGCGTTGCTACAGTGCCGACATGCGCCGCTTTTTGCAGAGACGCACCACTTTGTCAACACTTGTGGCAACAACAGGAGCACCACCAGCGACAGCAGCAGATAGCAGGAGCAGACAGCAGGAGCAGATAGAAGATAGCAGCAGATAGCAGATACAACCTCTAAACAGCTCTTGAGGACGCACCGGATGAGGTGAGACTTGGTGATGCATTTCAGCACACAGATGAAGCCGCTGCGTCGCTCACGTGCCAGAAATACACTGCCATGGGCGCCATCTCCCTGCATGCGCAAGTGTAGCAGTATCAGGGAAAGTTGAAATCTTTGCAACAGGAAGAGCAGAGGGAGGGGTGGAGAAAAGAGCAGCGCATGCACCACCACAACACGCCGACCGACTCACCAGATAGCCTCCAATATCGAAGTCTCTCAGAGAGAAGCGGTATGCATGGAGCCCACACTGCAAAGAAACGTCTTCTTCGACTGCAGAGGGCTGCGCTACATCAGTACTCTCTCTGTTCTTGTTGCTGCTGCTGCTACTGCTGCTGCTGCTGCTACTGCTGCTGCTGCTGCTGCTACTGCTGCTGTCGGTATTGGTATTGGCATTAGTATTGCAACCGATGGCGCTTCCATTGCAGCAGGCAATGTTTTCCTTGAAACTTGCCTTCTGACTGGTACAGCTGCTGCCCACCGTGTTAGCTGCTTCCCCCGCTACGACTCGCTGGGAAGGTCCTTTGAGACTACGGGGTTGCTGCTGGAGTTGTTGGTGTTGCAATGCGCTTGATGGAGGATCTCCGATGCCTTGCATAGTCGGGGAGCTTTAGGATGAAGCACTGATGCTCAAAGTCAGGGGGGCGTAGCAATTCTGCAGCTGCCAAGGTTGAGAAGACGAGGTGTAACAATGTGCTTAGAGAGAGGCATCAGCTGCTTCTGCGGAGGCTGCTGCTGCCGCGAAGGAGTGCTTAAATGGAGAAGACAACGGCATGGGCAGACAGCTGCTGGGGATCTGCATCAGCCTGAGTGTGCTTCAGCGGGAGCAACTGGCAGAGTCGATGGTAGATAGAAGCTGCAGCAGCACAAAAAAGGAGGCGGCGTAGGTGGCTTTGTTTGGAGCGACTGCGGATACTTCTTTAGGCTTTTAGTGCGTTAGGGGGGCTTTGGCGCTGCTGGTCGGGGTGTCGTAGTTCTCTGAATGAGATGTGTCGCGGGGATGACAGTCGGAGGCTGCAAGAAAGAAGACAAGTGAGCGGTTGCTGCAGTGTGACAAGCTCTAAAATGGAGAAATACAACGCAAAGCAAAGGCTGGGGGAAAAGAAGGAAGAGGTTTCCATGGGGGTGGTGATTCGGGTCGCCGATGGGGGCTGCTGCTGCTGCTGCTGCTGCTGCTGCTGCTGCTGCTGCTGCTGCTGCTGCTGCTGCTGCTGCTGCTGCTGCTGCTGCTGCTGCTGCTGCTGCTCGGTAGCTACGGACGTTGGCACGCCTGCTGTAAGCCTGGCGGTTTTATGGCCCATTTTGCCGCACATGTTGCTGCCTTTCATCGCTTGCGCTTCAAAACTTCTCAAGTGTATTGTCAAGATCTTCAAGTGTATTACCGGAGAGAGCATTGACAGCAGCTTCACCACTAGCAGCAGCAACAGCAGCAGCAACAGCAGCAGCGGACACCAGGACCAGCAGGAGCCATGTAGTAGATCTTGTACTGGAGCCTAGTGTAACGCTGCTCTTCTCTCTGCAGCCCCCTTTAGGGAGGAAGGCGGTTTCAATAACTCGTTTGGCTTTGTTTTTTTCTGCGTATGTTGCGGTATGATTCGCGACAGAAGGCGCGCAACAATACACAAGGCATTAAGCACTGGCAACTAGCCAGGTGGTTGGCAGCTATTGCTGCAGCAGTTCTTGGTGCCGTTGCGTTACACATTTCACTGGCTAGCAGGCAGCAGAGAGTCTTTCTTGGCAGCCCATGTAGTATCCTCCTGAGCAGCAGCAGCTGCAGCGGCAACAACACGAGCAGCGGCTGTTGCCGCAGTAGCGGCGGTTCTTGCGAATGCGCAATAGAGGGGTCCCTACGCCTCGTCTGCTGCAGTGTAACGTGGAGCTTTCTGACCTTCCTGCTGCTCGCGAAGCAGTAACACCTGCAGCTCTGCTGCAGGTGTCACTGCAGGTGCTGCCGCTGCCCCTCCTCTGTCTGATGATCTCATGACCCCAGGAGTCGCTGGACTGTCTGTACACCAGACACCGACGGCGAGCATGCATGCTGCAGGCGCCTCTGGGAGCCAAGCAGGAGAGAGCACCCCTTTTGCGTCGCTCACTGCAGCGGCTTCCCCCTTTACTGCTGCTCCCGGAGACTCTCAACGACCCCCTGAAGATGCAGCAGGCACGGGGGCAGCTGCCGCAGCAGCCGCTGCATCTCCCGTTGTAGCACCCGCAGCAGCAGAACCAGCGACTCACGCAGCGATCGACTCCGCGATTACAGCGGCAGGGACAGACTTCCGCGAGTCTCTTGGGTGCGCCTCCTTCGCAGACGGCGCCTTGTCTGCCGCAGCTGCAGCAGAAGGCGGAGGCAGTTTTGGAGGCTTCACTGGCGCTCCCGATGGAGCGACAGGCAGCAGCAAGGCCTTTTTGGAAGCCTCGCGAAAGTGGTGCTGCAGCTCAGAAACAAGAGGGCTGGCTCCCGTTTGCTGCCCTTGCCACGCTCTGCGAACTTGCCGATGCAGCAAGGGAGGCCCCTTCGCGCAGCGGCGGATTCTCTTGCAGCACCTGCGGCGACAACAGCACGAGAAGTTTGCTTCCGCTGCCAGTGCTGCTGCTGAAGAGCTGGAGGACGCATGCGAGGACGGCTTCGAGTGCAGCCAGAGCGACGCCTGCAACCCTTCAAGCGGTGTTGTGGACCCCTATGCTCGTGCATGGAAGCCGCCTCTGCATGCAGCCGATTTTCCCCCCCTTCCTCCGCCCGTCTCCTCGAGAGCACGACGAGCAGCAGCAGCCGCAGGAGGCCTTTCCCCCACTCCTGCTACACTGGATGGGGAGGGGACTGCGCCTTGCCACAGCAGCGCTGCCTCCGCAGCTGCCTTGCAAATGCAGTGGTCTCTGCCTCCGGTGGGGTTGCGCGTTGTTTCCGCCTTTTCTTTTGGAGGGTTGCTCACGAGGTCAGCGGACTTGGTGGTGCTTGAGCTCGCGCATTTGGCTCCCGCTCCAGCTGGCGAGCAAGCCTGGCAGCGGCTCGCGCACTCAGCAGCCGCGCCAGCGTCGCATCCTGAGAGCCTTCCTCGGCACCAGCAGCAGCAGCGGCAGCACGCTCGGGAGCAGGAGCTTCAGGGGGGCAAGCAGGCGCAGCAGCCTCCCCGTCAGGAGAACTGGGAGTGCGTCTGCTGCTTTCAGGTGTCGCTGCAGCGGTACCAGTACGCAGAACTGCAGCGGCACGTGTACCAGCTGTATCCGTTCACGCCTATGAACGGCGGGAAGGAAGGGCACGCAGGGGCGGGGTGGGAGGCCCCTTGGAGGCGACTGGAGACGCGCTTCAGCAGTCTGCAGCCTAAGCGCATTTCCACTGCAGTCGCCGCATGGATGGGGGGTGGTTCTGCTCGGGGAGGGGGCAGAGAGGATCCAGTTGCGGCAGCAGCAGCAGACAGCGCGGAGGCTGCTGTGTTGTTCTCACCGCTTGAAGACGCGCCTTCAAGCGGTGAGAACAACACAGCAGCCTCCGCACTGTCTGCTGCTGCTGCCGCAACTGGCAGAAAAATGGAGTACCTCACTGCTGGGCAAGAGGCGCCTGATGTAGCAGCGTTCGTGGGAACGCTGCTGCAGCGTGCTGATATCATGAGCGACGTCTTTGTTCAGAGACGCCTTGGAATTCGGCAGCAGCACGTCCTGTGCTGTCGGCGATGCAGAAGGAGACTCGAGACACCCCACCCCCTCTCCCCCCTGCTGCTGCCTCCGCAGCACATGACGCTGCCCGTGCACGGGCGTCTTTTCGCTTCGCGCGTGTCTCTTGAGCTGCGGGATGCCTGTGTGGCCTTTATTCAACCTCCTTCCGCTGAATCGGCTGCTTCCGAGGCGCTGTACGGATGCAAAGAAACGCTCCCAGGAGTCGACAAGGGGCCTCTGCACCACCAGCAGAAGCAGCAGCATGCACAGAAGCATGTAGATGATGACGGGCCTGGCGAAACCGGCGAGACAGCCTCTTGGCGTATTCTTCAGAGACGCAGTGCGCCGTCCTGCTGGCTGCTAGGGGGTTCTTGCCCGCCTTTTGTGATTCTCTCCCTTTTCCACACGAGTGGCAAGCGCATTTCCTTGTTTCCTTTTCTCGCTGGGAAGAAGAAGCAAGGAAGCAGCGCAATAAAGGCTGCTGCTGTCTCCGCAGGGACTGCCGCCGTGGCAGTGCAGAAGCGCATCGCCCTCATGGCTTATCCTCAACGCGATAAGGCTGCTGTGTTGCTGATACTTCCCAAGCCCTTCCCTTCGTCTTTCTGCGAGCGGCTAGAAGCCGCAGTGCTGCGGCAACAAGCCACAGCAGGCCCACTGACACCAGAAAACACCCCCAAGAGCGACTCCAGGAACGACAATCGCACCCGGAGACAGCGTCGATCCGTGGCTTGCGGACTCAAAATCAAGAGTCGGAGTTCTCTCCTCGCTCTCTCAGTACCTTCCTCCCTAGCCCTCCCGTGGCTGCCTCCCCTCACAGACACCGCAGAGGCTGCAGAGGCTGCTGCGTTTTGCAGCGAACGTGGCTCAGAGCTTGACGCAGTGCTGTCTCGGTTGCACAGGCAACGCTTCCTGCTAGCCGACGCTGCTTCTTCCGTCCAACAGCAGCATCCGCACCAGCAACAGCAGCATCCGCAACAGCAGCAACAACAGCGGGAGAGCGAGCTTTCGCAGCAAGCACAAGGGCAGCACCACGATGATCGCGGGTATCATACACTTTTGTCAGCGCTGCCTCCAGGAGAACTCTCTCGCCAGCAGATGCAGCTGCGGCACGAACAGCAGCGATCCACCCCTACGCAGCCAGATCAGCAGAGTGAGCCAGAGGAGAAGCATCACCCCTCACGGACAGAGCGCCGCGTAGTTGAACGGCAGCTGCGAAGTTCTACCGAGGAAGACTCGCAACCTCCGCTGCACAAGGGTCTGCAGTCGGACGAGAATTGCGTGTCTTCTCGTGCATCGACGTCTCTCTTCTCAGCAGCCACACTTGCGAGCAGTCAGTTTCAGCTCGCCTTCTCGTCTCTGCAGCATGAGTGTCTGAGGAACTCTATCAGACGCGGCCTCTGCTGCTGCTACGCGCCGTTGCTGTCATCCTTCTTTGTCGGGGGAGATGATGGAACCATTGCAGTGCTGCAGGTGTCTGCCTTGGAGGCGCCGCTGCTGCAGAGCCACGCATTCCCCACGTCTTCTTCCGCAGCAGCAGCAGCGGAGCATTTCCGCAGCGGCGCAGACACTCAGAGAAATAACCGCCGTCATACCAGCTCCATCATTGCCTCCTCGATAGGCCCTTTGATAGCCCCCATGCGCCTCCACACACCCCTTGGTAGCACTCAGTACGCCGCTGTAGAGCAGCAGCTGCAGCATCTGCGTCTCAGAAAGCTCCCAGAGGTAATCAAGTTCATCAGGGAAGAACCGGTGGACGTTGTGGCCCTACTGTCCGTACAGCTGCCCGCAGGCGACACCCTCGGGAGCACCTCGAGCAGCCGTCCTAGGAGCACAAGTGCCGCAGATCTGAAGCCCATGCTGCTGGCAGCGGGAAGAAGCGGCAGTGTGCTGCTGGCGGATGTCGCGTCCTCGCAAGTTCTTGCATCGTATGTAGCGCAGAAGGGAGGTTTCCTCGCGCCGACAGACACGATTGCAACCGTAGTAGCGGATGAGACTCGGCTGCTGCTATTTTGCTGCTACAGCGGCGGAAGCGTGCGAATACTGCAGCTGCAGCAATGCAAGGCCAGCGACAGCGGCCTGCAACTCGTGGTGCTCTCCTACCTGGAATCAGGGGCGCACCCGCTCCATATGGCTCCTGTGCTGCCGTTACTGTCTCTTCAAGGCACGAAACAGCAACAGCCGCAACAGCCGCTTCGACAGGAGAACAGTCTTTCGGGAAGTGGCGGCTGCAGCACCGCGGGCGGGCCTTGTTCGGGTGTCTCTTCAATCCGCTGTGCGTGCATTGAGTCCCAGCAGAGGCTCCTCTTTCTTGGCAGTAGCTCTAGCAGGAACGGTGTCGTCTCCATCTTGTGCTACAGCGTCTTAGGCAGCAACTGTAACAGTAGAGCTGCAGAGGAAGGCACTGAGGCCGTCGTCGCTGAAGCGAGTGCTGCGCGCGTAGTCCTAGTTGCCAGAGTTGTGTGCCTTGCAGAAGCCGTCTCCTGTTTAGCTGTCTGGCCAGAGAGAGGCATGTTGCTGGTCGGCGGTGCAGAGGGGGCGCTGCTTCTGCTGTTACTAGAGGGTCTAGTCTCTGAGTCTCCCGAGTTCGAACCAGAGAGTGCTACTGCTGCTCCCTCAGACAGGCCGCTGGAGTCTTTGAGACGGAGGTTCCATTTCCACCAGTCTGGTGGCACTTTTGTAGGCAACCAGCGGCCAAACGAGGAGAGAGAGCTAAGAGGCTCTTTCTCTGCACGCAGCTCAAAATTGCCATTCCCCCTGCGCATGCGCTTCTCTACAGCGCAGAGCCGCCCCCAGGGAACTGATGAACGCTTGCACTTGCAGCAGCGTGGCTTTGGGGGGGACCTGGAGAACGTGCTGCGTGACAGTATGGCTGCCAACGCCGAGTCCATGCTGCTCTTGAGGGCGCACAATAAGTCCATCCGGAAAATCTTGCTCTTTCCCAGCGAAGCCGTCTTCGTATCCTGTGGTGCTGAAGGCACCCTGAAAATGTGGAGAATGCCACCAACCGGGGAACTGGCCGACTGAAGCGCAAAGCACACGAGCGCTGACCGTTTCACAAAGAAAAAAGGGATCTTTTAGGCAGGGTGTCTGAAGAGACACCTGCCTGAAAAACCTGGGGTTCCTTGAAGAAATGTGAACGGCAGCAGTCAACCTGGTCCCGTGCTTTTCGCGCAGCCACGTCGAGGGAAATGTAGTGCCGCAGCTGCTGGTGGAAGAAATGTCGGTGCCGCAGCAGTTCATGCCGCCTTCCTCTTGTTGGCTGCGCAGGATTAAAGGCAACCACCGCGTGTGCCAACTCTCTACATGGGCCCTTGCGGAGGATGCTTATCCTGCTGGCTCCGACAGAAAATCTGTCGCAGCGTATTCGTACGTCGACGGAAAATAGAGGAAACGGGACGGCTTGATTCCATAATAGTGCATGCAACTTGGCAATGCTCTCTTTGGCCTTTTTGCATTTCTCATGTCGCCAAAGGGGTATATAGTGTCTCCCTTTTGCCGTTGACTGAAGGGCTGCTGCTTCACCAACACTGTGGCAGGTCACCACAAAAATGCATCTAAAAATACTAGGGCAGGCAATACCAATTGCTGCACTGGATAGTTCTTTCTTGCTTGATCTCATGGATTTGCGGCACTTCCCATTGTCTAGCACGGTGTGCACGTAGATCGGAAGCACATTTCAGGGAAGTTGTGGCAAAGTAGCGGACGTTTGGGGCATCTAACATTTCAAGCCTTAATCAGCTAGCATCCTTGTTCTGTTGAGGTAAACTAAGACCGAAAATCGAAACTGCAGGCAGTGGTTCATCCACAATAAACCATAGTTGCAGGTTGAGGACAGTGGCTGGCCGGTGTGTGTGCAGGCAACGACCCGTGGAGACGAAGCGCTTTTGTGCTATATGCCAAAATATTCCGGGGGCATCCTCGTGCCTCAGCGAACTAATTGACTACTGGTATTTTTCGGAGGAGCGCAGTGAATTGGCTTCCGCAATTTGTTACCCACATCGCCGTCAAAAGTGCAAGTAGAGTCCTGTAACCGAATCCCGGTGCTGCAGCAAGCGCGTTATGCCTTTATAAACAACCCAGGATTCAGACAACTCTTGAACGCTCTCAGTGCAGAGAACCGTTTACTGCGAAGTCTAGCCTAATCGGGCGTGCGTTGAGACACCTGAGAAACAACATTGCGTCGTTCCTCCAAAGTATCTCACTTGTCCCTACGCAAGTGCCTTTGCACTTGAAGAAATGCAGAATTCCCTTTGCCATGAAGGATCAGAAAAAATAATGTTAAGCAGTAGTTGCTCCCAAAGAAGTCGGCTCTTCTCGCATACTTGAACAGCAAGTGAGTTTGTATGGCCCCGTTCCTCCCTGGAATGTTTGCAGAACCTCTGCAGTGTCCGGCATGGAGCCCCTCAATAGGAAGAGTCTTAGGTACTGCTTGTTACGAAGGAAGTGAAATTCCTATGCTTGGGGTTCTCTATGGTCCCATAGGCCGGATTGCGCAGTAGGCGCCCGAGGCACTTTGTATCCCGGCATTGCCCATGGACCAGTGAAATGGTATGCATCTGTTCTAACTGGCTAGACAGATCAATTCCAGGGTAAACTTGCTCTATGTATGCCGGCGCTGGGAGCAGAACTAGCTTTCCAGAACGCGCGAAAAGATGGGAAAGTTTGCTTCAGGAAGCCCTTCCCCCAGCAGCTTATGCTGAAATGAGGCCCCAGCCCCATCCGATCAAGCTGGTTTTGGTCTTCTGTGGAGCTTTTCCCATCGGAACATTGCCAGCGTCTCGTACAACCATACACCAAAGTCTCTAATACCCCGGTTTCAAAGATGTGCGCGGAACTCACGGCACCACCGGTAGGTTTCCCCTCTAGCTTACGCCATCAGAGAGCCCAACAACAAAAGCTATATTGCAGAGCAATGAAAATAAAGGGAGAGGCTCATTCGCCAATGTCGTCTCACCTTATTTACCGCAAGGGCCCCTCCATCAGTGCATTCAACTTGTTGCAGCCTACAGAAACAACCCTACCGTATGTACTTAGATCCGCCTTAAATTAATTCAATTACCAATTAAAGCTACAAAAATATCATTTGTCAGTGCTTTGTAGCAGAACGTGTCAGGGATTTCCGCAAGCACCCGCCTGGTTCGGCCGATGGTGCGGTCGGTCCGTATGGATGTCTTGGGACCTGGGAACCGATACGTAGCTCATGTACACAACTTTAGCAACTTTGGGGGTATTTTCTCCCCGTTAAGTCATTTAAAGTGCTGTTCTTATGTTAGCATGCACCTTATGATCTCGCTTTCCCCTCGTGTCTTCTCCACCCATCCAGCCAACCGGCGCCTAAGATGAGGCTCTGTTTGAGGGAAGCGCCATCCGACTATGCAAAGCAGTACCGGGGGAGATTGTACAACTCAGCTATTACAAAGGATGGGACGAGCAATCAGACTTATGCGAGCGGGCATTTGTGGGAGATCTCGGAGAGTTCAGGGCAATCTTCTGACGACCGCGGCTCTACGGAGCATATGCTGAGCGGCACTGGCGGCGACAGCACAGATACAGCTGACTCCACCAGCATCTATCTCCCTCAAAGACAAAGAATGCTTACAAGAAAGTACCTGAAGTCAGTAAAAAGAAAGTACAAGCAGCAGAAAATTGCCTACTTGCGTACCCACACTGTAGACGAATTCAGGAATTTGCAAGCTGAGGTGGAGCGCGAAGAACGAATAGCTACCGCATTTCTTGCAAGATGGCCATACGCATCACGAATCCATCAAGATATTCCCCTAAAAGCTTCATCCGTCGACCTGAAAGCACGACACACGTTCCGCCAGGTATCAGGCCGTAAAACAATCAAAAGTGTGCTTCTATAAACGCTGACAAGGCACTCGGAGTTGCAATGCTTTTACTTTGCAAAAGCAGCAAAATAAAAGCCACTCCTGTTTAGTAATGGATTTCGAGACTCGTTTTTGCCTGTGTCTGCTGCATATATTCAGCCATTTTTGCCTAATGCGAGAAGGAATATGCCTTATTATCTTGGCAGTTTCCTAGTCCTATCTACGCCCTGCGAATAGCTCCCTGCACTATTTTATTCAATGCACGAAAAACCAAGTAGCTACCAGGAAAAGGTTCGGGATTGTCGGGTTAGCAGGTTTGACTGCAGCTGCCTATGCGCTGATGGGGAAACATGCCGTACCAGATTTGGGGTCATAATTTTTTAGGATACCAGGTACCTTGCGAAAACAGCACCCACAACGATGGCATATCTGCGGTTGACACATTTGCCTCGACAAGCTCTGAAGAGCATCTGCGTGGTGTTGTGTCTCATAGGGGCACTCAAATTAATCTGTATCGGCCAATCCTGTGTCGATTCCGTAGACCACGAGGCCGGCTCACTAGGCTAAAGTTTGTATGCAATCAGACTGTAGATCACTGCATCAGAGACAGAAGTATCGCGTTCATGCAGACCTCATTACACGCCAGGGATCCGCAGGATCCATCAAGCTGCGGCTTCGTACACCGTGGACCCGCGAAGTGCCGTACACTTCAGGCGCTTACACTCTACTCTAGGAGGAACCTGATGGGGAAATGAAGTGCATGTTGTAGCCTTCAGCTGCTTGTTGCAGTAGGCTGAGCTCTCTCCAGTTTGGGAAGCACCTGTTTGCGGCTGCTTTTAGTGGAGCAGCGGAGGTACACGGGCATAGTTGCCATCAGCTCACTGCAGTTTTTCGTGAAATACGCTTCTCGTTCCTGGATCTTTTGGTTTTTGGTGTATTTTCAATCCCTTCATTGCGATTGTATGGCCTGTTTTTATTAGGGATACGGCATGCACCGCATAATTCATAGCCCCTAAAGAATGAGATGTTGAGACCGTTAATCTTTGAGTATCCGGCTATGGCTTGCCAAGTTATAGTTAAGGCCTAGCTGTCACCATACACTGTCAACCTTCTCAACAGACTCACTGACTGTGTGTCTTCTCCCGGTGCTCCTTGACCATTAGGGGAATACGTTAGTCATGAGGCATAGCACTCAGATGGCTCCTTGTGATACAAAATCGTATTCATGTTTCAGCAAACCACTGTCACCTTCGAGATGCTTCCCCGCACTGGCTTTACTCCATTAAGCTGGACAGGCGAGGCAACCGGCGTACCGTACCGACACGAGAACCATCGATTCCTATTTGAAAGGACGGAATACCTTGCTGAAAGAGAAGGAAAGCACAATCCGCATCTCCTTTACTAGCCTCTGGGCAAAGACAGGCACCTCCAATTCACACGCAGCATCGTTCATTGCCTTCCTTTTACTATTGCAGAAACACTCGGAGTCTAGAGCACTAGCCACGCCAGTAGAATCGTGTATACGGTATCAACACCGACGCAGATAGACATATTCCTGGACCAGGTGGGCTGCTTTCTTATCTGGTTATGCTGCACGCTATGAAGCGCACGCACATTGATTTTTCAAAAGGAGATGTCGCAACAGTCACGAATAAGGCTCGCACCCTACATGGAATTAGGAAGGAGCTAGCTTGGAGCTACCTTATTCACTTAAATAAATGCGCGGTATACCGTATAAGCTAGGAAATGCGAAGGCATACAGTTAGTTCTCCTACGAGGGGAACAAAGAGACCTAAATGGCTACTACAAGATTATTTCCCCGAGTATCCTTAACGAGTCCTAATTGCCGAGATCATCAGAATGTATGATTAAGGTGCACTGACTGACGGATGCAGACAGTCACCTCGACGTCAAGGAACATGGTCTCGTGGCCACGAAGCGGAGGTGAACGCTGTTATTGAGTGAAGATGTCTTATTGCCTCTGGAAAGCACCTCTGGCCCTAAAATCAGGTCATGTTGAGTAAATATCTCCAGCCTTCCCTGTAATCGAAGAGGCTCCAATGTCTCGAGGGCTTGCTCCCTCTGCTGTCCTCTGCATCACCGCTAGTCAGCAAGCGCTGCATAAGCTACTTATGAGAAAGGCACACGACCAAACGAAGAACATATATACTAGTTGCGGTCAATTACTATCGGAGTTCATTTGCAGTTTGCTTCTGTGTGGCTGTTCTCACCAGATAAAGACATATCTTGCTCGCCTTTTCCTCGAGGTCACCCCCCTCCCGCGCCACGATGCAGCTCGGATATTTTTTGTTCTTGGGCACACTATTATCGTCTAGTACCATCGAAATTCAATCGGGTAGGTTTTTCGCTGCTTTTCCACCTAGGTTCTATGTCTTTTTACACTCTCAGGAAGACTCGGGAAGAGCTGAGAACCATCCTGCACACAGCACCCACCAAATGCAACAGTCCGTCCTATGCAGTAGTGTCTGTCACTGGCTGAAACGTCCAATAGTGCAGTACCTATGAGCAGACCACGGCTGCTTCCGTGTTTCTCGTGAACCCCACCATCGTATCTGCTCAGTACCGCGTTTATACGGTGTGCGTGGATGGGGTCTTACCGAGTCTCGAAGTCCTCTCGAAATTAGCACTTCTAGATAAAATACAGCCTGCTGCCTCCAAATTACACATGTACATTTGTGTTTCTGCTGTTCTGCGCAAATTGTCAATGTATCAGCCAGTGCAGAGAGCTCCATAAGTCCCTCAGCCATCGCAAGGCGGCTATATCCATTCATCAAAGATGCGGACCCCTTCTCAACCACCACGCAGGACGATGCGCCTCTTCATTTTCCCATCGGGTTCCTTACCCAAGAGGAGCCCGAGGTGAGGGATTCGACAGTTGCATTCGAACACCCTGGACCTGCCGCTTCGCAGTCCGGATGGAATGAGCAGCAACATACACCCTTTGCTTGGTACTACCCTAGCGAACCGCCTATAGTGGACCAAGTAGGTGTACCTTTTGAATCCGCTTACCTGCATCGAGGTTACAGTTCAGTACATGGTGTTCCAGAACTTCCGACTGTAAGCAGCAGACCTCAGGGCAGCGACGAGGTAGTGTACCCACAGTTGGGAGCCCCCACCTTCCCTGAAAGCCAGCGTTTTGAAGGTCCTAAATTTCTGGACAGAGACTCTGAAAGTTCTCGATTCCATGAGGGAATGCAGCCTCCACTGGTTCCACTGTCTCCTTTGAGTAGACCTCTGAAGCCTCATCCGATACCGGAGTCGCAGCCTGCTTCTGCCGGCAGGCCAGAGGACTCTGAGAAAAGTGCCGAGCAGGCCAGCCATGACCTGGTGAAAGCTGTAAAGGAGGCTAACAGAGCCGCAGAAAAATTAGAACAAGTTACGCATATTGCGAGTGGTGGAGAGCGCCCTCATGAGAGCCAAGACCAAACAGCAGACAGGCCACCGGCAGAGAGCGACAGCAGCGCACAGTTGGGTTCTGACGCTCAAAATGGAGAGGCAGACGATCACGCTGTTGAAGAGCCTAATGAGCAAACCCCGCAGGTTCCTTCAGAGGAAAAGCCTGAGATTCCTTCAGAAGAGCAGCCTGAGGCCCCTTCAGAAGAGCGGCCTGAGATTCCTTCAGAAGAGCAGCCTGAGATTCCTTCAGAAGAGCAGCCTGAGGCCCCTTCAGAAGAGCAGGCTGAGATTCCTTCAGAAGAGCACCTTGAGGCTCCTTCAGAAGAGCAGCCTGAGATTCCTTCAGAAGAGCAGCCTGAGGCCCCTTTAGAAGAGCAGCCTGAGGCCCCTTCAGAAGAGCAGCCTGAGGCCCCTTCAGAAGAGCACCTTGAGGCTCCTTCAGAAGAGCACCTTGAGGCCCCTTCAGAAGAGCACCTTGAGGCTCCTTCAGAAGAGCACCTTGAGGCTCCTTCAGAAGAGCAGCCTGAGGCCCCTTCAGAAGAGCAGCCTGAGATTCCTTCAGAAGAGCACCTTGAGGCTCCTTTAGAAGAGCACTTCGAGGCTCCTTTAGAGGAACCGTCTGAGGAGCAGCATGTGAGTAGAGATGAAGACATGCCTAACGGCTCGCGCGCTGATAGAAATGAAGGCAGCTCTGGGAGGAATGGCAGGCCAGCTGCCTCACTGCGGCCACATGACAATAATTTAGAGCAACACGAGAGAAGCGAGCCTCGTGAAGCCCTTGAACAAGAGTCTCATGCAGCGAAACTATCAAAGCTGGCGGCAGAAACTCAGAAACGAGCTGCAGCACTAGAGAGAGCCACCGAACGGGCCCAGAAAGCAGCTGAAGCCGCGTCTGCTGGGGTGTCATCGCCGTCTGAAGATCTAGGGAGCTCAGAGGATCTGGGAGTTGAACACGTAGACGACACTGAGGACGCTGGTCTCTTGCCTTCTGATGAAGCTTCAAGCACTCAGTCGGACCAGCAGGCTGACGCTGAAAGATCGGAGTCTAGGGCTGAGGGTGCGCGTGCTAATAAGCCTAGGGAAAAACCAGCGGACTCCAGCATCGGTCCCGATCAGCTGCCTAGCGACGAGCGGGAGGAAGATGAGGGCAAGATTGCGTTTGCTGAAGACATGGAAGAAGCGGCCGCACGCGCAGTGGAAACCGCTGAGGCCCTTGAAAGGGCTGCAGCGGAAGCCACTCGATCCGCCGAAATTGCAAGGTCCATTGCGGAACACGAAAGCAAGCCAGAGGAAACAACTGATTCAGGAGATGCGTCGAGCGCCGTAGATCGTGAGCGTCCCTCTGCCTTCAGGCCAAAACCCACCGACATTGAGCAGTCAGAAGAGCCGTCTCACGTCGTTTCGGAGCAGCGTCCTCAGCTTCCTCCTGATGCCTCTCTTTCGAAGCCAGAGGAGCAGTCTCAGGTCAGCTCCGAATCCGAGCCTCCTTATGTAAGACCAGATGAAGACTTCCAGGACCTACCTGAGGAAAAATCTCGGGAGCCTCCAGAGCACCAGCAGCCTGAACACGATCAAGTCCACAGACAACCCCTCAGGCCAGGCAGCGCCTCGAGACCACCGTCTGGCGCCTCTGACACGCACTCCTCTATAGGGTCAGAATCTGGCCAGGACGACTTTTCAGAGGCACAGGACGCGAAGCAACTCCTGCTTGCCGAAGAACTGGAAGCCGCAGCAAAGGATGCACTAGAAGCCGCTTCGCGCCTGCGCAGCGCAGCGGCAGCAGCTCTCGAGGCTGCTGCAGATGCCCGCAGTCCCGTGGAGTCTGCTGCGGATGACGCTCACAGGGAAAGCTCTGAGCACGGATTCGAAGCCGACGACTTACATGAGGGTGCAAACAATTCTACCGGGGAAGACAGGGGTTCCCTCCCCAATCGTGAACCAGCAGGCCCACCTAAGGCCAATCAGGAAGGTGAAAAAAGTGATCAAGCATCATCTGATGCACCTGCGTCGAACGCAGGTGCACGCGGCAGAGCCACTGGGAGGGCAGGTTTCGCTCGTCATCTCCGCGCACCCAACTGAGGCACCAACAGGACGACAACTGCACACAAACGACTCAGCGTGTCTGGAAGGAGGTCATCTCTCTGTCGGCCTTTAAAACGGGAAATCATAGCTGCGCGCCTCTACTAGCTCCGATACACCTTGACAGAAAATCGCAGAACAAAGCCAACTCACAGGAGCACGTAGCAATCTAAGCAGTTGTTCCCCTAGGTGTGTCTGCACTGAACAGCTTTCCCTCCGCATTTTCACCTCGCGCAGGCCAAAGGACCTCGGCAGACCACTTGGGCTACGGTCTAGCTGCGTTGCACGTTGCAGAACGTTCCAGAGACTAAGGGATATGACGAATTGTTTTGGGGATAACGCAGCATGCATGCGATTCAAAGGACACTAGGAGTCAGATAGGGGCTGCTCCCGTGCCAGCCGTTGCTTACTTACTTTTCGTTCTAACGGCGTTTTAACTATGCATAGAGCGCACTGCTGGTTGTGTCTGTCGTATACTAGTGGCCATGCCGTAGAGCTCCGAGACTACTGAATGCTCTGTGGCACGCTAAATAATATAATGCGATGCCATTTCCCCCACTTCAACTACCTAGACTCCCATTGCACCCCCTTGTAGTTAGCTAGCAGTTTGCACGAGCGGCGCTGCTTTCCTCGAGACTCGTGTGTGCGTCTAATAATGCTGCTGGCTATTGTAACTGCGGAAGGGATGGTTCATCTTATCCGAGTTGCATTTGCACTCGGCGTCGTGATTGGGATTTTATATTATATATACATATATTGTGTAGGCCTTCGTTAGGTCGGGTCATAGGCCGGTACTTTTTTCTCTCAGTTGGATGTATATGTATACATATATGGATACACACATATATATATTGATGGCATGAATTTTTCTTCCTGCACGCTATAGTGCTGTGCAATCAGACCGCATTGCCACAGAAATGCCATGCACGCCTAATGGACTTTCTACTCTATTCGTCCCGCCGCCACTCCATCCCAGGGGAAGCTCTGGGAGGCTGGCCGCTTGCTTAGGGCAGAAGAACCCTGCGTTGGAATGGCGTGAAAAGGAATGTGTTTTTCCTGTTTTCGCAATAGCCCATTTGCAGAGGACCGGAGTCCTTATAAGCTCGGCCTTTTGCAATCAGCCTCGTAGCTCCTGCTGCGGAAGCTGCAGCGACAAGATGCTTCTGATGCCTTGCACGGAGCTTCGAGCGGCACTTGGGCTGCGCTCTATGTGGACCCCTGTCCTTCTTCTGTTTTGGCCTTGCCCAGGGCCTTAGGCATCTTTGCCACCTGCAAATCTTGCTGTTTGTAAAAGTGAGGCGCAACTTCTGCGAGCCATTCGGGCCGAACTTCGCAGACGCTACGCATGTACTCCTTGGTAGTCAGCGCGAGCTCCGTGTACACTACAAATCGGGGGAACTGTCCGAAGAGGGAAGAGTGTGGGTGTATCTCTACGGTGTGGGGATGCTTCAGGGTGGTAAAAGAGCCATGCCGGTTCAGTCGTGCTGCCTGCAACGCGCACAGGTTCCAAAACAGAGAAAAGGCAGGGCAGCGTAGCAGTGAGAGGAGTCGCGCGCTTGCGCTGCAGGGAGATTGGGCTTTCAAGGTCGTGCTAGGCAGCTGTCTAGGAGACACAGGGCCAGAAGCGCATGCGAACGAGCCGCATCCCCCATCGAACTGGCAAAGGCCAAAGAGGCGAGTGGCTTGAAAAGCCGCTTTTACCCCCCGAAGCAAGGATTCGGAGACTCGAGCTCGCTCGGCCTCACTTGAGTAAAGAAGCCAGAAGTTATGGCCTTGCGGATGGGCTCGTCAGCGCCGTCGCATGATTTCTCTTCGAGTTCGACGCGCTCTAAAAGCCCCTGCAGTTGTTCTCGCACGTCCCTTGCCCGCTGCATGGATCGATGCTGCACGAAGTTCTCATAGCACCAAGCCACGGAGAACCCTGCAGCATAGAAGCGCGCATGCAGCACCAATTCTGCTAGAGCACAAGGGCGCTGTAGAGGCTCAGCAGCACGCCAGGCCTGTGAAGCAACTCCCTCCCGTCCCCTTTATATTCCCCCTTTACGCAGGCAGGAGGTAGGCCCCTCCCCTCCAAAAAAACGGAGTCGCCGCGCTAAACCGCTGTCTTGAAGCTCCAATAACTGCGCTGCTCAGACACTCCCTCGCTGCGCTCGCTAGAAGAGCAACGCTGCATCAGGCAGGGCCATAAGCCTCCTCGACAGTGCGCTACCCACAAAACAAGTCCGACAAAAATAATCAGAGAAACGGTGCAAGGGTGATGCGCATGCCTGTGTCTTCCCATTGAGCATAGACGTTGAGTAACGTGAGAGGGTCGCCTCCTGGCTTCGCAAATGTCTTTCTGGCATTGTCAGCATGGATGGCCTTCTCCTTCGGACGGTAAAACAGCATGCCTCCCACTCCTAGCATTGCACAAACCGTTAAGGCCTCTGAGACGCAGCTGTACTTCTCGGAGTTCACAATGAACTTGCTGAACATGGGATCTAAGGGAAATTCCGCCATCCGCCTTCCGAGCTTGGTTAGCTCTCCCTACAGAGGGCGCACAGTGCAGAGAGCGCCTTGGCCTTATTGTGCCTTGGCGCTGCTGCTGTTTCAACGAGCAGCAAGTCACGAACACCCTTCATGCAAAGAAACACGCCACCCCACCCATGCAGCTGACATTGTATGGCACCCAAGATTTTCTGCTGCTTTCGTGGGAAAAGGCCTCCCAACAAGACGTCAGAAAGCAAACAATCAGCCCTAACCCGCAATCGACCCCAAGCGCAAGGTAGTGGAGTAGAGCTGTGTGTAGCACCCCTTCCCTTTCCCAGAGGGGGCTGTGTCGAACACCCTCACACTTTTCCTCAAGAAAACACATCTGCCTTTTTGTCTACACGTCTTCACGTATTCGCAGCCAAAAGAACTGCGCACGACAAGATCGGTGACGTTCGAGCGAGCATCGTTCCTTCTCGCATTCCCCTATTTCAACACGTATAGGTATATAGGTGTATATGCAGATAGGCCTATGTAGGTGTATCTGCATACATATATATACTTCTTCACAGCATGCGTCGTGGTGTCTTACTTGGTCGTTGAGGGCAGCCAGTGCGTACAGAAGTTCGAGGGCGCTGATGAGAGCGTCTGGCGCGGGTGGATCCATGAAGTCGAATTTTAAAAGATCATCAATGCCAAGGCCCTTGAGCGTAAGCACCACGTTGCTGAGGTTAGCTCTTTGAATCTCAGGCACATTTGCATCCTCCATCTCCTTCTCGAACGAGTATCGAGTGTACAAGCGGAAGCAATGACCAGCCCGCACGCGACCGGCCCTCCCCGACCGCTGATTCGCTGCGGCTTTCGAGCAAGGCACCGTTACCAAAGCATCCATCCCTGAAGCAAGCAAGCAAGCAAGCAAGCGGAGGCAGAAACGTGAGACAGAACGCAGCCTCCACGCGGGCAGCACAAGGGGCCTTGTCGTGGCGGTAAGGGAAGGGGTGACGGCAAAGATCGGCGACTCGAAACACAAACACAGCGTCCTCCAATACGACAGTCAGTCAGTCAAACACCCCTGCATGCGCGGCGTCAAAAGCCCCCAAAATGCGGCCCAAAGCAGCTGCACGACAGGAGGCCTTTCGGTTTGCATCTGTGGGGTCTGTGTTGGGGTGTCAGTGCACGAAAGGCGCGCATGCACAGCACAGCTGTCGTGCGTATAGTTGTGCAGCAAGAACAAACAAGCCGCTAGGACCGCGTCTTTTTTTCTATATCTCTTTCTCTCTCTGTCTATTTCTCTCTCTGTCTCTTTCTCTCTCTGTCTCTTTCTCCCTGTCTCTTTCTCTCTGTCTCTCTCTGTCTCTTTCTCTCTCTCTGCATAAGGCTCTGCTGCGGCAGGAAGAGACGTCGTCCAGCCTTGCACACGGCCCCTCTGGAAGCACCGCTTGTGATCGCGTGGCGTGTTGCCTACCTGTCTTGGCGCTGTACTGATTTTCTCTGCAGAATCCGCAGTCCACGACGTATACCACGCCCTCGAGCGTGATGGAAGTCTCTGCAATGTTCGTCGCAAAGACAGCCTTCCGAGCACCCTGAGGCGTTGGCTCGAAGACGCGGGCCTGCTGATCTCCTGGCAAAGAGGAATACAGGGGAAGCACAATCAACTCCGCCGCTTCTGTGCCTCGCCCGCGAAGTCTGCGCAGCAGCAGGCACACACCACACCCCCATACGTCCCAGCTGAAGCAGGTGCAAGGCGCAAAAACATACACACTTGCGAGCTGGAGAGGGAGGGAGGCAGGAAAGCACAGCAACCGTTTTCTTCTTGCCGCACGCCGCGGAGGCGCAGGCGCCGCAGTGCGATCGAAGATGCAGGGGAAAGAGAGGGAGATGGCGGAACGAAGCGGCAGAAAGAGACAAAAGAAGGCAGAGGCAGAGCTGTTGAGGGGCATGCGCGCCATGAGGCCCGCACATCTATATATATAAATATATAAATATATATATATATGAAGGAAATTGAGACAGAGAAAAAAAGAGAGAGGGGAGACAGACAGACAGAGAGAGAGAGGCTGAAGAGAAAGCCAAGACGGCAGGCAAGCCCCTCAAGAGCCAACGTCTATCAGTGGCAGGGATGCATGCATGTGCATGCAGATTCCTCGGTGGACCCGCTAGCTCCCCTGAAGCCCAAACGCCTTTTCCCTACCAACCCTCTTCCTCTCAATGCCACGCCACACACTCACAGGTAGACACACACAAAAGCACGCATGCACGACGCGAAGCTCAGAAGCGGGCCGGCGGCGCAAATGTTTCCTCTTCCCCTCCCTCCCCTGCTCTCAAGTCGGCGATTCACACAAAGCTCCCCCCCCCTCCCCCCCCGCGATACACTCTCGACTTGTGTGTAGGACAGGTGGTACCAACCTGCGCTGTATTTCTTCGACTGCCTCGTCAATCTCTGACTGTCCTGGCAGGAAGAGCAGAATGTCTCCTGAGGGTTGAGTAAAATGGAGCTGGAGAGCAGTCACGACGGCGGCATCGAGAAAATTCGCCTCAGGGGTTTTCGTGTAGTAGATCTGCACTGGAAAGCGCCTTCCTGGAATCCTAAAGATGGGCGCATCGTCGAAATACAAAGAAAACTTCTCCGCCTCGAGCGTCGCGGAGGAGATGATGAGCCGAAAATCCTTTCGATACCTGCGGACAGGCGCGTGCACAGGCGCACAGACACGCAATGCATGCATGCACAAAGGCATGCACAAAGGCATGCAGACAGACAGGCATCACTTCCTTCCCTTGAGCCGCAGAGCAGCAGATCACTGAGACAACCCCAAGAAGCAGCAGCACACCCATGAGGAGCTGCCTGCGTTTGCTGCGGAACCAGCAAAAGGCCAATGCAGCGCTGCCATGCAAAAGGGAGACGACGCGAACGCTCGAGAAGAGAGGCAGCACACTTCCGCTAGAACACGCACCAGAATCCAACCAAATGCAGAAGCAAGAGACACACCTAGGGAAGTCGCGGAGCAGAGAGGAGCAGTGGCGCGAGAAAAGAGGCGGCGCGACTCACCTTGACAGATCCTTCACAAGAGCAAAGAGAACGTCTGTGTGTAAGGTGCGCTCGTGAGCCTCGTCTATCATTAAGGCAGAGTACGACTGCAAATCTGGCTCCGTTAAAAACTCGCGCAAAAGCATTCCATCCGTCATGTACTTCAACTCCGTCTTGTCGCTTGTGCAGTCCTCAAAACGAATCGAATAGCCTACCTAACGCAAGCCATAAGCAGTCACTCGCACAGAAGTATACACACAGCGAAGAACACACATACATATTGGTACACCTACATACATACACATACAGATATATGCATACAGATACATACATGCAGATACATACATACACATACAGATATATGCATACAGATTCATACATACAGATACATTCATATACATACATACAGATACATACATACACATACAGATATATACATACAGATACATACATACACATACATACATATACATACAGATACATACATACACATACATACATATACATACATACACATACATACACATACAGATATATACATACAGATACATACATACAGATACATACATACAGATACATGCATACACATACACACACATACATACGAACAACAAAATATTGACGTTTCGGCATATGTGAACTCTAAAGTGCCTTCCAACCCAACAAGACGACCCCACAGCCTTCGCTGCGTCAGGCGGTAGTCGGCTAGCTGAGTGACCAGCCGCTTTGACACGAACAGCAAACAGCTGGCTCGTTTCCAGCATGCGTGCCTAGGCAGCTTCAAGGTACGAAGAGCGATCTCGTTGAGATAAGTGGCTAGAATAGAGCATCGCTAGCTCATGGAAAGCGCAGTTCCGTGTGTAGGAGGGAGCCGTCTCGCTCTAGGGGGCCGCATCAGCACATGCAAATACGCCAGGAGGCGTAGAGTGTCTGCGCTGGTCTCGGTATATACACTCCAAACAGCAGAGCAGCCTCAAGAAGCACCCACCTCCATGCCAAGTCTACAGCCAACCTCTTGCGCAACTCTCGCAGCGACAGACATCGCGGCAATCCTCCTAGGCTGTGTGCAGCCGATTCTGCCGGCTTTTGCATATCCAACTTCTCGCAGAAACTGCGGCAGCTGCGTTGTTTTGCCAGATCCCGTCTCCCCAACAACCACCAATACTGGATACTTCGCCACTGCACGGAGAAATTCCTCTCGATACGCATAGACTGGAAGCAACCGACGCTGATCCTGCGGCAGGAAGGGGGGCAGAAGGGCCTCACAAGACAGCAGAAGGCAGTAGTGTGCTGCATGCCACGACCAGCAAATTGATGCAAGGCACTAGAGCAATTCACACTCCTAAGCAGCCACGCAAGATGACACAATACAGACGAGACGCGCAGTGAGGGGACGTCCACCTCTTGGAGCCAGCGTCTTTTTTTCACGAAAAACCATGCTTCGCTCGCGCCTGGCGAATTCCTTCCTTCCGTCGACAAACCATGCGAGCGAGAAAGAATGCAGGAAAAAATCAGCAGACACGGTAGCAGCAGCAGCAGTAGTAGACGGACGCGCGTAGGAAGAAGACACTGAGAGAGCTCCACTGAGACAGACACGCGATACACGTTTAATAGCCAATCCCACACTTTGCCAAAGACGCAAAGACGCAAAGTATGCGCACCGAGAATGGAGAGGCAGACTGCCAAATCGTCGTGTATACTACACAAGGGACAGAAAGCGAGAGAGAGAGACAGAGAGACAGAGAGACCGATAGCGGGCAGCCTCATGAGCTACACATACACACGAGAGAAGCCTGCAGAGAGATGTGCGCAGACACGGGAACGGAGCAGAATCGACGGCGACAATACAGAGCACAGCCCACCGTGTCTCTGTACACACACAGACATACGTACATACAGAGACATACGTACATGGACATACATGCATCCACAGATATACATCCAGACATACATACACATACACATACACATACACATACATATACACATACAGTACACATATGACGCAAAATGGAACGCAATTTCGTGTAATGCATGTACCTGCAAGTCTCGTGTTTTGACTTTGTGGGCGTTCTCTGCTGCCTGGATGTCTGTCTGCGCCGCTGCAGTGTCTGCCTCCGGTGTGAGTGGTCCGTGTGTTTCTCGCGCTTCGAATTCGATGGAGGCACCCGTTTCGTCGATCAATTTGTACTCAGAGGCTTGAAGCCTGCCTTCGCGTGCTCCGAAGTGGGCGAGAGCCGCCTGAGTCTTTTGCTGCTCGAGCAGCCTCTGCTCGCTGAGCTGCTGCTTCGGCTCCTGATACGGCTGCTGCATGACACGCAGTCGAGCCTGCAAGTCTTCGTCGTAAGCCTCCGGCATAATGTAGGCCTCAATCTCCTCCCGATCCTGTCGCTCCCTGATGACGGTTTTCGCGAGCTCCAGCGTCTCCTTCCGCAGCTCTAAGGCGCGCCGCTCCTCGGGAGTCAGCTTGTCTTCGACCTGACTGTACAGCCACTCTCTGTCTTGCACCTTGCGTTCCTGCAGCACCACTTGGTCGCCCTCACGCTTCTTCAGATAAGCCCTCCTCGCCTCCTCCCTGAGCCGCTGCATGTATGCTTCGTTGCCTCTAAGCTTCTCGTTAGGTCGCTTCTTAGCCTCCAGCAACAAGTCCTCGACAGTCTTGAGCTCCTTGGCTTCGCTGGAGTCTGCTGCTGCGGCTGCCTCCTCGCGCTCCCGCTGCAGCTGCTGCTGGCGAACTGCCGCTGCCCCTACTTTCTTCTGCGCAGCTGCTTCTCTTGCACGCAGCCGTGCGGCGAACGCGGCAGCCTCGGCAGCATCGTCTGCCTCCGGAGGTGCCGCTGCAGACGAGCACACACACTCGACCTCACGCATGCACTAAAAATGTGCAGTTTCGGACGGGGGGGAGTCTACGTACACACAACTCCACGCGGAAGGGGAGTTGTCGGCGGTGAAGAAAGCGCGGAGACAGAGAGGGGGGGGGGGATGGAGAGAGAGAGGGGGGATGGGGAGAAGGAGATGGGGAGAGAAAAATGGGATGGAGAAACAGAGAGGCAGAAAGAGAGAAAAAGAAGTAGAGAGAGAGAGGATGGGGAGAGAGAAAGAGAGGATGGGGAGAGAGAGATGGAGGATGGGGAGAGAGAGATGGGATGGAGAGACAGAGAGGCAGAAAGAGAGAAAAAGAAATAGGAAGAAAGAAATAGAGAGAGACAGAGACAAAGAGAGACAAAGAGACAGAGAGACAGAGAGACAGAGAGAAAGAAATAGAGAGAGACAAAGAGAGACAGAGAGAAAGAGACAGACAGACAGAGAGAGGGGATGGAGACGGAGAGGAAGCACAGATAACACGCCAGCGGTCATTCATCAGAGGTTCGGAAACTTCCTGGATGGTGAAAGCCTCTCAGATGTCACTCTCAGCGAAGCCTTTGTCAACCAACATGCAATGAATATAGGGAAAGGTAGGCCTATGTGTATCTCTCCCATCTCTCCCTCCCCCTCTCTCCTGTGGATGCAGAAGTGCGAAAAGAAAAAAATCGCTAGCGGCTCACCAGGTGGCGCCTCGTCTCTCAGTCTCTTTCTGGAGCTCTGTGCTGCCTGCTCCTTTTCATCCGCTGCAGAGGCCGCTGCTGCCTCCTCTGCAGCGGCCATGCGCTGGAAGAGCTCCGGTGCGAGGAAATCCGCATCTTTCTGAGTAAAGTGCAGCTCCTGCTGCAGCGTGAGGGAAAGCTGGTGAGAGTTGGAAGCTCTGTCTGCTGCAGCTTGCACAGCGGCAACCAGAGATCGCGTCGCAGCCCCCACGCAGCGCTGCAGCTCCTCCCGGAGCCATGCGGTTACATCGGACAGAGACATATCCTCTTTGCGCCGTGGGGACAGACTGTATGAGCCACTTGGATGCAGCAGCAGCAGCAGCAGCAGCCGCACAGAAAACGGCTTCAAAGGAGCTGCGCAGACACCCGAGAGCGCACGCGGACGTGCAGAGGTTTCTTCCGTCTCGAGGGCCAAGCCGCGAGCGAGGCTCTGAAATTAGAGGGGCCATGCAACAACAAAAAAACCTGTGCTTACAGCAAACTCCAAGAGAGGCGAGAAAATGCGACACGCTGGACCCTTGCTTGCTGCGCTCGCGCCGTACAGCAGCACCCGTCCCTCCCGACTTCCCTTTGTGCTGAATCCTTCCCCGATCTGTGCCTCCTGAGAAACTCCAAACTCCTAAAATGCCCCATACCCCAAAAGCCAGCTGCCTTACAGCCTCCACAAAAGCTCGACGGACGACAGACGGTCTGCCTCCCTCTACTTGCAGCCGAAGCCACCGAACCGCAGCAGCAATACCTCAGAAGAAATCAAACAGCTTGAGAAAAACAACGTCAGACGACTGCAGAGCGCCCAGGGAATACCCACGAGGAGCTTGCAAGGGGGCCCACGAGGGGCCCCAGAGAGAGGGCCTCTATGGGGCCTCGCTGCGGCCTGTTGCAGGGGGGCCCCCCAGCCAGCAGGGGCCCCCCAGCCAGCAAAGGGCCCCCACCAGCGAAGGCGCTATGATTGGGGTGGCTGTTTCGTTTGCCTTCGCACGGTGTAACACCAGCTTTCTGTTCGTGCAAACCCAAGGAATGAGGGAGAGACACGTGGGGGCCGTATCTTCGGCGCATCGCAGACGAACCTGTTCGAAAAGAATGTCTTGCGATCTGCTGGCAGCGCAGAAGGCTGTGCTTCCTCCACGGGTAGAGGGGTGGAAGGAGAAACACAGAGTTCTCAACTCGTTCAAAAAGCATCTCGGAGCCGAAAGCATTTCAGAGATCTAGCAAGACAGTATACAAAGCCTTCGGTGATGCCTCCTAGACCGAGGCAGGGAACACCTCCTCTGCACAGTTCTTCGAAAAAGAACTCGCAGCAAACTCTCCTTCGTGGCACTTGCCACCGACAAAGTACCGTCCGCTATGAGTTCTCTGAGAAAGTGAACCTACCCAGCCACACCAAAAATCTCACGGAAAAACGCGCTAGGGCGTCTGTGTTTCTGGAGTCTCACTGTTTAAGTGCTTGTGAGGAAGTTTCTCTCACTTTTGCCTCATCTGTGCCTACGCTTGCATTTGCCGCGTAGCTCTATTCTGTCCCATATGCGCCGCGTTGCAGTGCATCCATGTAGAAGTGTTCCTTGGTTTTCTGCCCGCCTCTCCACACGGTGGGTGCGCAACACACCACCGAGGAGCTACTGCGCAACTTTGCACATTCCCCTGGGAGTCCTTCTGTGAGCTCTACTGTAGATCTTGCACGGCTGTGCTAAGGAAAAGATCCGTGTCGCCCACCCCCCATGCTTTCCACAAGGAGATACGTTGAACCCCTAGCCCTCTTGTCGCTTGAGGAGAGTCATCTCACGCGTTCTCATTGAGGGCACTTCTTTCCCTGCCCTGATGACCCCACAGAAATCCCCATAAAGATGAGGGACCGCTGCCGCGCGCGGCTTCAGTTCAGGCTATTCAGCCAAAAGCCACCGCACCCTATTTCCCTTGGCAGCTTCACACACAGACAGAAGGCATCATTCTTGGAATAGATAGCTAACTAGCTCTCCTCTGCATCGTGTACAATATGCGAAGGGTCTCCGCAGAGAGGATCTACTACTACGCAGTTTATGTCTTGTTGTGGCCTTCCCAAGATTTGGCTGTCGCTGTTTACAAGGTCCTAGAGACTAGTTAAGCACTGTAAGGATGGAATGACCTCTTCATGAAGCCTTTGTGCCCGATGTTGCTAAAATGGCCTCCTTCAGGATGCATCGAGGAGACAGCACAAAAACCGTTGCCCTCTGCGGGAGATCGACAGGACTCCCCGACTCCGCTACTTGTTCAAGCCTGCGCACCGAGGGAACGAACGGCGGAAGAGAGGAATTAAAACGCTGGAGCGGAAAAGCATAGCCAACCGAGAGTCACAGAAGCGTCAGGACAAGCGCAAAAGAGGCACGCACTACAGGAGAACCGCAGTACATAGAGAGAGCCCTGCATGTATACCGCTCGTAGCTTGCCTTACGCGTGAGAGAAGCGCACTCCTGAAACAAACACAAAAGAATTCAAATTAGATAACAAAGCTGATGAGTGCGCGGTTAACCAAGCTGTTGGATATCGCCTATCACGTGTGAAGGGATACCTACAGTCTCCCTTCTGCATGTGCCAGGGCTGTGCTCTGCCTCGTTCTCTTTTCGATGATGCCGCGTTGTGTGCATGTAGCTGCTTGACTGTCTCTTTTCATCACCCCGCCGGCTCCCTTACCTCCCCCTACATCCAAGTTTCCTTCACACGTCGTCAACTATGGTTGGTCTGCCTTTCTCTCTGATCATTTCCCCCGTATGCACATCCTGAAGAACAGTAGCTAACTCCCACAAGGCTCGGAAGTGTTTTCGGCTGTGCACCAATGCCATCCTTGCTGCGTAGGGGTAGCCCACTGGCTAACCGCAGCGAGCTATAGCCATGGCAGACCAAAGGTAGGACAGAGTGCCCGCTGCGCTCTTCGCTACAGTTCTGAGGGTTCAGCTCCTTCACTGAGGCTTCATCTCAGCAGCATCGTTATTGCCGCCGCACGCGGGATGGAACCGGTCAATAATGCGCTTCGCACATATGATTACTCCTCGATTCTCCTGTATGTACTCTGGATTTAACAGTCTCGTTATATTCTGTGTCTCTCTATGTCCAGCAGCTAGCAATAGGCGTCTATGCTCTGAGCCAGAGCGCAAAGCAGCTAGCGCATGCAATAACCTTGATTGCTCTGGTGATGCAGCGAGGCACACCAGAACTGCTACCTTACACCTCGGTGGCATCAGAGTCCTGTTGGTCCCGCGGAAGGAGGTAAACAGCTCTTTGAATCAGCAGCTGAATTGCGGCTTCGAAGATTTGCTGGATGCCTACGTTGCAAGATATAAGGCTTGTTTCAAAGTCTCCGTAGAAAGCCACTCGATTTCAGACTCGATACACACACGGTAGAAAGTTGTTGTCTTTTTTTCCAAAAAACACACGCCCCTGTTCCTGGTCAACCCCTTCGCGGCTCTGGCACGAGAAAGGGGACACCATGAGCAAAAAACGCAACCGCCCGCTCTAAGCAGCCAAAACTCCACAGCTTGTTACACATTGCCTCTACCGTACATACACCCAAACAGCATTGCGTTTTTTTTGAAGCTAACGGCACCCTGCTGTACTCGCTGGGCGGTAGGAGAGACCAATTAGTTGGTCAGTTCTTTACGACTTTGCACCTAATCACAAGTGGTGTACAAGAGAGTGTGTACGAAGTGTTGCATGACTGGCTACGGCACCTGTGGTGGTGTGGCTTCCGCAGGAACCGACTGCGGCCTTCTCATGATGCAGAGCTGCTTCCCTTTGGCCCCATGGAAACGAATTGCAGTGTATGTACCGCCCACGAGGGAGCTCTGAAAGGCCCTTCTACGTGGCTTTTTGCTTGCTTGGACGCGTATCGTCCTGTGACTGAGAGGCCAAGGTTCGCTGCGGAGATGCAACCGGCTGGCTGACAGTGCTGGGCGCCCTCTGATAGCGGCAGGGGCCTTCCGAGGAGATCCGCAGAGTCCCTAGTTGCCTAGCAAATGCTATGGTCGGTGTGTTTGTGCATGCGTGAGTGTGAGTGTGAGTGCGTGTGAGTGTGGCGGCGTGGTTGTTGCAGTGGACTGGAAGAAGGCGAAGCAGGGAGGGTGGCCGATGGTCTCAGCAGAGTGCAGACAAAGAAAAGGAAATTGAATTGCCATGAGTCTTCAGAGCGTTTTTGCTATCCAGTACCTTTGTCGCCGCACGCGGATGCCAGAAAGGAACGAATATTTGCCACATCACGTAGATGAGTCATCGGGGTGGTTGCCGCTTTCCCCCCCTCCCCCAATATTAGGGGCCCTCGCCGCTGGCTGTCGGTCTGTCGGCAGCGAGCGCGCGAAGGGGGGCTTTTCGCATTGCAGAGTTTCTCGAGGTACTAGCCGCAGTTTCTTCATTTTGTCTTTTGCTCATCCACTGAGCGACTCAATGAGCGCCTCTGAGGCAGTCTAAGGCGAGCGGCCGCCCAAGACGACCAAGACAATGAAGGCTCTAAGCCGGTTGGCGCATGTTCCTTGGTGAGTTCCGCCTGATTGACTTTCTAGAGGCCCCTTAGAGCGCAACAAGGCCTTTTAGGGGCCCTTGCGAGGATTCCTCGTGCGACGAGAAGGGTAGAGCTGTAAGTATGGAGCCACAGCGAACTCCCAGCAGCGTCCTACGGGGTCGCAAAAGACATGCAAGAGCTTCTTTGCTAGCCGTATTTTATTTCTGTGGGGAGAAAGGGAGGGGGCATTCGGTGTCTGTTTTTGTCTTGCGCGTCGGGATCGGCACCCGACGCCTCCCCGTGTTTTCCCAGCCCCCGCTGCGCCTTCCCCGATAGTCTCCCGAGTCTCATTTTGAAGAGGCTCCCCTCTCTCTACCACCCCTTTCAGCTTTCCGTGTGGTCCCTCCTCTCCATGGAACCTGTCTCCCTCGCGTCTGTTGTGATCCTCAAGGCTTCGCCGCATTTACACCGCCTTGGCTATCTTGATCCCTCTGTTAGGGCTTCTGTATGTCCCTTCGGTGGCTTGCTTTACGCTGTACTGCATTGCGCTTCTGGCCGCCTTCGAGCACGTGAAACTCCGCAACGCGGCCCTCCAGCGGCTCGAGGATTGGTGCACTAGGGCCCACAGAAAGCTGCATGCAGAGGCGTCTGCGGAGAGGCAACACACAGCGAGCGAGGGCACTCATGGCAACTGCACACAAGGGATGCAGACAGAATTCCATGGCTTTTCAAGACACGCTTATGCTTCATGGCTGGTAAGGGCTCCTCCCATGCCAGCAAGAGGACTCGGCAACCCGTAGGGAGGTATATTTTTGGTCGCAAACTCAAGTTTCCCTTTTTTCCATTCCAAGTCCTCTGCGTGCGCTTCTGCACAGGAGTTTGCATCATCGTGTGTCTGTATGTGCACGTGTGTATGTACGGTTGTGTATGTATATATATATGTGTGTATGTGTGTGTGTGTATGTATGTTTGTGTGTGTGTGTGTTTGTTTCCTGCCAGCCGCTAATGCTGTGTTGCTCGCTCCTCTTCGCGGCCGAATCCATGGACCCCCAAAACACGCCTGGCCTCTGTTTCTTGTCGGCTACTGCTGTACGTACACCCCGCGCCCCAGGCAGATGCCCTTCCTGCCTCTGTATAGGGACCTTGCCATGAACGCTACTTCTCTATTCAGACATACGTACACACGTGCTTACATGCGTGCCCACATATACATATATATATATATATATATATATATATATATATATATCTATTTACGCTCACCCATCCTGAAATTGAATTGGAGCTCATCACGCCCTAAGCCTGCCGAGCCTGAGGGCGAGGGCCTGTATATCCTGATGCCCACACAGCATTTCCTAGCGGTCACCCTCGCTGGTTTGCATGCGTATGACGCTGCGTTTTGTAGGTGGTCTCCTTCAGCGCCGTCGCCGTGTCCATCCTGACCTATGCGTGGCGTTCGGAGATCCCCGAGTCAGAAACATGCACTTGCTGGCTACTTGCCTCTTCGGCTTGCAGATGCGACCGTTTGAGGCTAAGATTTGTGATTCTGTGAAGGTGTGCAGGTCTCATGAGGCTCTGCTCTACGCATGGGCGTCCGCTGGTTTTGATTTGTATTTTTTGTGCCACTTTGCGGTGCCGCTCGCAATGGGAAGCTTCGTCCTGCGCCGCAAGTAGGTGCGAAGGTTGCCTGCGACGGCCTTGCACTGACAGGGTACTTCCAGTCTTTTCACGGTAGAGATGCCGCTGGTAGCTAGCGTTATACAGCCAAGACTCGCGTGTGTGTGGTGGCTTGTGCAGCGCGGGGTTGCCCCTAGCGGCCTCCCTCATCGCGATCTCTGCTGCGGGAGACACGGGGGCCTTGTTTTGCGGCTCTGCCTTTGGCCATCGCCGCATCATCAAGCGATTGTCTCCGAATAAAACTTTGGCAGGTCTGTGTTGCTGCTGTCTCTCTCCAGCTACAGGACCTGGGGGCTGGACTTCAGCGCTTGAGGCTTTTGAATTGATGCACTTCCATGGCAAAGGGACACCTGCAAGACCTGCTGCTGAGTTGCAAGGCAGAGCTGCCTGCCTGCCTGTCAGCCTGCACGCGCGAGCGCCTTAAAGCGCCGCGTGTGTGTACTTGTGTGTGTGTGTGTGTGTCTTTGAGCGGCTTTTTTACGTGTCCTTCATTTTTTACGAGCATGCCTTTTTAAGAGCCCTTCTGGCCATACCGACTACACTGCCTCATAAGGGATGAACGCACAACACTTGTCTGTGCATGCGGTGCGGTGTGCTCTCTTAGGAGTCATTGGGTCTTTGCTCTTCAGCTGGCTAACAGCGGCACTGTTGTGGCATTTGGCGCAGTCTTATCCCGCCCTTAGCGTGCGGGCGCTTCCCTTAGAGGATTACTTGACCATCGGCGCTTTGGTGTGTAGTGTAGCGACACGCGAGAAAGAGCAGCAGCAGCAACGATTGTTGCTGCTGCTGTTCCTGCACGAGCCGCGGCGGCCTCGGAAGCCACAAGCAGCACGGAGGGCTCATGCTGATGGGGATAATGTCGACGCGGTTAGTCCTGCTGCTGCCTCTTTTGTTTTTGCTGCTGCTGCTGCGGGTGCAGACAAGCGTTATGGGCTTTTTGGGAGACTTGGTGGAGAGTGCCTACAAGCGCTGTGCTGGCGTGAAGGACTCGAGCTCGATCTTTGGTCCTCATGGGGGGATGCTTGACCGCGTAAGCTGGGATTTTCACACGGATATACATGTATATATATATGTATATACATATCGCCTTCTGAAAACAAACAGGTGGTGGCTCGATAGCGCTGGTTCTGCGGGCATGATGGGCTTCATGGGGAGCTGATGACATGGGCCTTGACGGAAATAGACTCGGGAGTGTTAGCGATTGGCTTTGACAGGTTATCCTTGTGCTGTGCACCTTTTGCTGTGCTTCAAGCTGGACTCGCTGGTTCTGCCTATCCCGGCGCTCCTGCTGGTACTCGCTCTACGCGGCCATCTCTAGTTTGCACGGTAGAAGCACTAGTGCTAGATCGGTAGAGGCAGAACATGAAGCTGCTAGGCTGCTTGGGAAACGGGAGGCTGCTGAAAGAGCCCGAGGAGCAGACATAGCCCCTCCTCTCTGATGGGGAAGGGGAGAGAAGGAGGAAGCCTTCACTTGAAGGCTTCTCTGCGGCCGGGGGTCTGGTCTACAAAAGAGGCATGCGTTGCCTCACACTGCCATTGCGTGGCAAGATGCCAGAGTCTACGAGTCTCCGGTGCGAGTGAGGAAGGGGAATGTTGCTCAGACAGGCGGTGCGTCTCTCCGGTGAGGAATTGCCTTGTCTGTAGCCGTGGCATCAAAGTGCGACGACGCCTTTGAACCTTCAAACTTCGTGAAAACAGGCAGACAGGCTTTCAAGAAGAGGTACCACCGAAGGACTGCGCGGCACCGAATCAGCGACAGCGCAAAGCGAACAAAGGGATGCTTGTCGCAGGGAGAAGCAATTGCTGCAGACCTGCACTTCTTTACGAAAGATGCACTGACCTGGCGAGGAAAGGAGTACTTGTCATCCCTTCATCCGTATGCCAAGCAGCTTCTTTGTGCAGGGCATGAAAAATACAGGAAAATGCGAAAGCACGCACAGAGAGAGAGGGATGATAGAGAAAGAGAGGGAGAGGTATGCAGAAAAAGCTGCAAAGGTGGAGGGAGAAGGACAGGAAGATGCAGAAGTAGGGCAGCAAGAAAAGGATGCCATTTCTGCGTGATTACCGGGGTCCTTTCCAGGGGGAAAGAGCCGCATTCTTCGAACTGTCCTAAGTAACGTGTATCCATTTTCTTTAGGCCATTATTTACCAGAGTGACCCTCGACAGAACTTGAGGTCGTTAGTTAAGCATTCAGTGGACAGTAAAGCTACAGCACTGAAACCCTCGCATGTAGAATCCAGCGTCAAAAGCAGGTAGTGAAGTGCTAAACGAGTCGAAGCGACCCCTTCAAGGCTCTTTCTGTGTGCACGGACTCAGCACAAGAGCATCCCGTAGGCCAACGATATCTGTCATGACTTAGTCGCACGTACAGCGTCTAGCCAGCCTGATGATGCGCTAAGTCGAGGAACCCTTTGCAAGAGGCTTTTTCATGATGATCTGTCATGCCGCTGCTTGCTAGTAGCCCGTAAAGCTATGATAGCTGGCCTTGAAGCGTCAGCCCAGTAGTGGAAATGCCATGATTGCGTGAAGACGCACATTGCCATAAGTCGCACCGCATTTGCAGCTTCTCGCAAAGCCCCAAGCTATGCAGTGCTCCCTAGTTGCAGGTTTGACTGCTGCATCTGTTTTCTCTGCCACAAAGGCCCCTAAAATGCGACACCAGCGGATGTCAAGAGCGTCCCGAGGTGTCGGTGTTTGTGATAGGTTACCACGGGGATGTGCCCCGAGGCTTTCTTCCCCGGGAAAGTTCCCCAGCGGCTCGGAGGAGGCGATCCTAGGAATACGCCTCAATGCACGTGACAACCTCGAGCGACTGGATACGGATTTGCTGGCGGTGGACTAGGAGAACTAGAGGCGAGAGCCCTCGTAAAGAAAAATGTCAGTCGACACGAGACGTAGCCAAACAGCAGGATCTGGATAGAGGATACTCGAGGAGAGTGTGGAAGGGTGTGAAGGAGGTGTAGGCGCGGTGCCCTGCTTCTCGAGCCGTTGCCGGCTTAAACGCAGTGGCAACTTCTGCCTGTGCGTGATCTTTGTTTATTCACTTAATTTCAGCTGCGATGTCGGCTGTCACGCTCGATTCCGAGAGCTCACGACTCCGAGTGAGATCCGTCCCCCTTCAGGGTCACCGGCGCTGTACAGCGCGGGGCCTGTCTCCTTCTCCGGGGAGGAAGAGGCGGCCGGAAGGCAACAAACTTAGCGCCTGACACTTCAGAATCCCTTACGCATCATCTGATCTGCATTTCCTAGCCTGCAGACTCGTCGAACCCTCTCTTCGGGGAGCGCCCGCCTGCGGACTGTCCGCCACGGAGGGGCAACCGTCGAGGGCCGTCTAGAGTTTCTTAGGCAGCCTCTTTGCTGTGCCGAGCCAATGGAGCCTCCCGTTGACTGTTTGATTTCCGTGCCTAAGTTTGGTCCTCCTCCCCGAACAGATCCCAGTGCCGGGGGGGGAGGGGGGCTAGGCAGAGGGCGTCGTCTAGTTGTCAGCAAGCTAAACACCGGAGGGGATCCCCCTTCAGCGCGGGGAGGCCACACGGCCACTCTAGTAGGGGACAAGATATACTTGTTCGGGGGTCACGAGCTTAGGGGTGCAGACAAGGGGTTTGCTTATCACAACGCCGTTTTCGTGCTGGACCTTAAAGGTCGCCGCTGGGTGCCCTTCAAGAAGCAGAAAGGGACGCCTGCAGCCCCCCGCTATGGTCACACTGCCTCTCTCTTCCGCTCCCGCATTATTATTTTTGGGGGCAAGGGGGGGCCCAACCTCTACTTTCAAGACCTTAACGCCCTAGACGTAGACAATGCAACGTGGTACAAGGGCCTCTCTCGTCGAGGGGACCCCGGCGCGCGCTTCTGGCATTCTAGCAACATAAGCGGGGACCACATGTACGTATTTGGGGGAGCTTGCGGCTCGACTTTGCTCGGTGACTTGCACGCACTGAACCTCACGACAATGGAGTGGCAAGAGCTCAAGCCCAGGGGCAGGGCGCCTCGACCACGAGTTGCCCACGCCTCTGCCCTTGCGAACGGCTACCTCCTCATCCATGGGGGCATGGCTAGAACAGTGGTGAGTAGCAATACGTGACGCTACCCTCTGGGCGAGTGCCCCTACCCGAACACAGCCTTCACCTAAGCGAGGTGCCTCTGGTTGGCTTGAGGCAGAGCCTGCGACAGTGACAGGAAAATAACACACACACGCACACGCAAAAAACGCACTGAGCGCACTATTTCAGGCGTCAAAATACACGCTGAATGCAAGAAGAGGGGATCAGTTCAATGAACACGGTGTCGGATTTAGACCCTGCGCCACCACGCGCCTATCGCTTCGCCAGTATGCTAGTTCTTCCGGAAAACCAGTCGGAGAATGAAGCCCTCCTCTAGCTCCTCACCCTGCATAGCTATATACTTGCACTTTGGGCTGGCAAGCGCCTCCCGGGGGACTGCAGAGGCGCACGGATGTGGCCTTCACAGGCAAAAGCTAATACTGGTCCTTTGCTCTCTCTTACACTCGGTGTATCCTTGCTGTTTGCGGCTGATGGTGAGCTTCCAGCTGGAAGATACGCAGGCCGAGGCTTCCGCACTAAATGCTGCAGACCTTGCTACCTGGTATTTAGGGGATTTACATGCCCTCTCCCTCTCTGCGCTAACCTGGCACCGCTTGAGGGTTCAAGGCGACCTTCCCACCCCCAGAATGGGGCACACCCTCGCACCGCTCGGTAACAGTCTCCTTCTTTGGGGGGGCTGGCCTCATCGTAACTCGACACGAGCAAGCATGTACAACCCTGACAGCAAGCAACAAGAACTCATGATGGCTTCAGCACCCACGGATTCTGATCCAACAGCAGCGTTACTCCTGCAAAGCGAAGAGCCCCAAGAGATTCCACTCCAGGATGCGGCTGCGTTGTGCAGCTACACCGGAGAGTGGAGTCCTATTTTTGTGCGAGGCAAAACACCAGCTTGTCGCTATGGGCATTCTCAATCGGAAACCCCTAGTGGGGTTGTTGTCCTTGGCGGGTGGACCAGCCCAGTACCCTTAATGGAGGCGCTACTAATACAGGAAGAAGAAGAAGAAACTGCTTCTTAGGGAAATCAACTAGATATAGTTGTAGGCCTCATGCGCTCCTCCAGGCAGTTTCATGGTACACCACGACTCCTAACCCTAGTCTTCGCGGGGGGGCGTCCTCCAGCTCCGAGGCTATCCCTGAGATCAACAGAAGCCTATGTCCACAAGAAATTTTTCCGCTTGGGCAAGGATCCTGCATGCTGTTGGCTCCACTCTTGTTGCGGTCCTCGCTCGAGGGAAAGGCGTCATAGTGAGAAAAGGTTGTACTAACGAAAATCTTTTTTTTCATGCCCGTTCTATTGACCTCTCCTGACAAGTTAGACAGCTATCAGGCTGCCTAGATACCTGGAAAACTTTAATTTGAGCAGGGCTTTAGCGGGCCAAGTCATACTTGAGCACTTCCTACTATACTAGTTGTGTTTAATTAAGAATTTCGTAAGAGAAAACTCCATACTTGAGCAATTCCTATCATACAGGCTTATTGCAGAATACTGTTAGCTCAATAGGGCACGATGCCATGTTGTGAGCGTGTACGGTAGATGCTGCGTGCAGTTTGCTGCGAATGATCTGAGTGCTTATAGGGTGCATCTACGCGCATGCAATGTGTATCTCTCTCCTATCATGTGGGGAACCCTGAGGGGCAAGCGCAGGGAAACGAGGGAGCCTTTTTGAAACCTTCCATAGCTCTGTATCAAGTTTATAATGAGCCTGGAGTTAAGTGCTTTCCTACAGAGTTCTATGATTGAGCCCCACATGCACCCTTAGAGGGATCATGCAAAAGACGATGGACTGCAGTAGGGACTTCTTAACTCAGCGAGTGGGGGCCGGAGAACTTGGACACATCGTTGCCTTCGGCATCTGTACGCCACAACCGAGTTCGCGCAGAAAGCTACGATGAAGGGGACATAGGTGGTGCAACCTATGACTGTTTACACAACGGTAGGGTGGTTTGTTGCTAGCGGTAATTGGCTATTGGCGCGTAAGTAGAGCCCCCCATTGGAGCGTACGTACAAGAAGGGCCCCTTCAAGAAGGGCCGAAGTCGGATGACGAGAGGATTGCATCCTTTCGCCTTTTTGACAGGGTCCTTCTAGAAGTCATAACACCCTAGAATCAAGGGCCTTGCGACAACATTGAGCTGGAAGAATGAGAAAAAGCACTGTGGACACGTTTTTTGAGTTTTCCAGCCTGTGGGTCTGCGGGGAACCGCCGCATTACACTCAAGTGTGTGTGAGTGTCTGTATTTGCGCAGTGTTCTATGCAAGGTCTTCGAGAAGAGGCAATGGGAACTCAGATTTAACACAACCTTTGTAGAAAATTATTGAGGTTTTCTCAAACGAGTTCGATCCTCCGCTTCCCGCGCTTCTTAGAGCTGTCTACATGAGGGGAGAGAGATACAGCTTGGATGCGCATAACTACACCCTCAAAGGACTCCCAAGGATTCACAGCTAGTATACGCAGCTTCGAACGTACATGCACACAACTTTGCGCCTTCTTGGGTTGCGCGAATAGTACTCTGAAGTAAGCGAGATGTACGAGCATACAAATTGAATGGTTAATGCAACCCCAATAATCAGCTAATATAACCAGTGGTGTAGTAGAAAGTGTCTAAGTGTAGCAGGCCCGCAAGCGGCTGTGCCTGCGTGTGGAAGGATGGGAGGTAGCCACCTCACACTTAGTAAATAAGTCTACCACTAAGTCTTAATTTTGGTTTGGAAATGGCAGAGATAGCTGCTTTTGCATGAGGGTAAGGCGGAAGGCTGTTGAGGGCCGTAGCGCGGTAGACAATGTAGTGTAAAAGCAATTGTTGTTTTCGCTGCTGGTGAGTCAGTGGCGTTGATGGAGTCTGTAAAGGAAGCAGAGTTATCTTCAGGTGGAGTGACAAGACGGGAATTTCATGGTTTCCTGCAGAGGCCACATGATGGCAGCAGCTGCTGCTGGTGGGGGCCCTTGATGGTGGCAATGAGCAAAGATCAGAAGCAAAGGCAGTGGCTGTCACTGCTGCGACTCTCCAAGCTGCGTTTTTTTATTCTGACAGGGATTCTTGCATGCGAGTCTTATTATTTGTTTGTTTCATTCATATGTAAGATGAATGTACGCCGTGGCGCAGACGAGCATGCTGTAGTGTCTGTCCAGCGTAGCAGCGGCTCACAGGGTCAGCGGCCGTAGCATGAGCAGGCGGCTGGTCCTCTCGGATTCGTGTACCTTAGGAGTCTTGTACGGCATTTTCGTCGCGCCTTGGAGGCTTACAAAGACTCGCTTCGACGGGAACGGCCAAAGCAACAGGAGTTACAACCTCTCGCAGGCACGCTGCCACCGAAGGTCGTCCTTTTCGGGTGTGCCGCGCCGGAATCCCCAGCAGTAGTCGCACCGCGCGGCAGCGGAGCAGCGGCTGTAGCTTGAGCAGCAGGGAAGCGCTTCTGGCAGGCGGGAGAATGACAGTATCCGATGAAGAAGTGTCTGATGGCTGCAGCTGGGGCGAAGGGCATGCAGGCAGCGGGAGCAGCAGCAGAGCGTCTGGAACGGCGGATAGGGGGGACCCTCTGGGAGGCCTTGCGGCAGCAGAACCAACAGGAGTGCCATCAGCTCCAGCAGCCGACACAGCCGCTGAAACTGAACTGCCTTCGCGCTCTCCGCGTGGTGGAGGCTATCAAGAGCGGCATGAGGATGCTCACAGCGCCTCACGTGAAGGTACCAACCTGCGCCATTCCCAACAGTGGCCTTTGCATGCAGCAGCCGAGCAGCAGCAAGAACTTGAGCCGTCACCCATGCCTCTGTCGAAGTCTGTGCAACAACTCGAGCAGCGGGGGGACGGCGGAGAAGGCTTGCCCTCTTTGGTTGCGCCTTTCGTGCGTGTATTCAGCAGCACAGGCGGCAACACCACCACGACGAACACTGCCACAACGAACACCAACAGCAGCAGCACGGGCACGAATGGAAGCGGTTCATGGCAACATGCCTTAGCGGAGTCGTTTTTTCGCGGCAGCGGTCCAACGGAGGGGTCTAGGGGGGAGTCTGAGAGGAGCTCTCGCATAGTGGGATCTTCGTGCGGGAAAAGCGGAGAAGCTTCTTCGCGGAGGGAGCTCCAGCATCAGCCTGCGCTTGCTCGGCACTTGTCCCTTCAAGACAGCGGCGATGAAGTGGTAGGTGGTGGGCCCCCAAGCAGCAGCAGCAGCAGCAGCAGCAGCAGCTTTCTGCCCAGCGATCGCGTCGGTCGTGGCACAGCCTCCAGCAAGTCGAACCGGAGCAGCATCAGCAGCAGCTCAGGGAACGCCTCCAGCTGCAGCAGTTTGTGGTCACAGCCAGGTACATGCGGCTGCGAGCCACCAGGCCCTAGAGCGGCGCACAGTTGCGACAGCGTGGACGATTGTGTTTTTCTGTTTGGGGGATGGAACGGCAACAGCCCCATGAGCGACTTGTACGTCTTGGAAGTCTTGCGAGAGGGTGACGGCGAAGGAGAAAGCAAAGAGGGCCACCATCGGTATCAGTGGCACTTGGTGCCTCCGAACAAACACACTCCAGCGGCTAGAAACAATCACACGAGTGCAGTTGCGGGCACTGAAGTGTATATCCATGGGGGGCACGACGGCTCGCAGTGGCTTGCAGACTTTCATATTCTGGATGCAGCTGCAGTCATCAACAGCGGCTTCAAGGTTGCTCGTTGGAAGGCGCCTCAAGTCTCAGGTCAGAAGCCTTCGGCTAGAGCTTGCCACACGCTTTCGCGGGTTCGACAGAAGCTGTTTCTCTTTGGGGGCTATGATGGTCACCGCTGTTTCAACGACATTGAGATCCTTGATCTGGAAACTCTCGCGTGGATTCAGCCCAAAGTCTCCGGTGAGAAGAGGCCCCATGTGCGCTTTTGGCGGGGGAAGGCGTGTGGAGAAAGACGCAGTATTTGCGCCTGGGAGGGAGGGGGCATGTGGAAAACGCGACGTATGAGCTAGACGTTTCGGGGAAGAAGCTAAGCTGTCTGGCGCAGCAGGGAGGAGGGGGGACGCATAGAGTCTTTGGAGGAAAGGGGATCTGTCTGTGTGTCTGTCTGTTCCACTGACTAGATCACACAGCGCGTGTCTCTGGTGGCTTCTCTGTCTTGGGGTGTCTCCGTTTCTTGCTTGTTCGGCTTTCTCTCGCGCGCCTTTTTTCGGCGATCTTCCAGTGTTGATGAGGCATGTGGGGTGTCGTGTTCTGCTGACTAGGAGAGAAGCCGCTGCCTCGAAATGCGCATTCCATGGCTGTCGTGGAGAGTCGGCTCTTCTTGTTTGGTGGACACAGTGGCAGCAAGCATCTGACGGATCTCCACATCTTTGACACTCCCTCCCTTACATGGTTTAAGGTGAGTCTTTTGCGGCTCTTCTTCTTCAAGCCTTCGGGGAGCGAAAAGCGGGAAGAGGGAGGGGGAGGGGTCGAGATAGGCGGGGAAGTGGGTTCGCTGCCGTGCAGCAGCGCGCTCCTTGGAGGTGTCGCAGCAGGAGCTGCAGCTGCAGTTCGGCGTGTCTTCTTTTTCTTTTTTCTTCTTCTGCCGCTGCCTGAGGGCCCTTAAACGCTGCCACCTTTGTTTTAGCCTGGACTGGTCGACACGTTCTAGCTTCTCCCCCCCGATCATAGCGTCGTTGCGTATTCGCTTCTCTGGTGCCCATGCGCTTGTTTGCTCAGCCACAACTAAGCGGCTCGGTGCCTCCAGGCTTGCGAGGCCATTCTGCAACGCTCGTTGGCTCTAAAATGTTTTTATTTGGCGGATTCGATGGGCGCCGTCGCACCAACGAAGTCTGTGTGCTCTGCACGCGTTCGCTCACTTGGCGATCTCCGAAGGACAGTCAGATTCATGCTCCAACTGGGAGGCAGAGGCACAGTGCAGCTCTCGTTTCGCAACGCCGCATCCTCATTTTTGGCGGCTTTGACGGGGCCCATTGGCTTGCCGACCTGCACGAACTTGACACGAGCAAGCTGAACGAGGCAGCACTGAGCGGCGTGGCTATCAAGCAGCTCCTGCAGAATCTCAGGCAGCTCCTGCAGGGAGGAGACTTCAGCGATGTGACGCTTGTCGTTGGAGGGAAGCGGCTCCCCGCCCACAAAAACATCTTGGCAGCAAACTGCGCTTTCTTCCGGCAGATGTTTCTGGGCCAGATGAAGGAAAGCATGCAACAAGAAGTCATCATCCAAGGGTGGACGCCAGAAGCGTATTCCGCAATGCTCGAGTTTCTCTACACAGGCACTCTAAGCGAAACAAGACCAACCGTCCTCAGCGAGGTGAGGACGATCCTACAACCTGCCCTTCCTGACGCGTTTCTAATAGCCCCCTTCTAGACGTACATACACAAGAAGGGAGGCGTTTTTGTTTCTCGAAAACAAAAAAAACGCCTCCCTTCTTGCGACGAGCGCCGCCTCTCTTCTTGTTTCCCTCCCGCCCCGCATGCGCCGCGTCTGTACACCAGGTTTTGCTGCATCTTAGCCTTGCCCTCGCGTCTGCAGCGCTTCGGCTGACCCTCCCAACAGCTATCGGGTTCGGCGCATGCATGCAAGCGCAAGCAAGCCAGCAAGCTGTTTGAGCCGGCAATTCGAGTTCGTGTTCTTCTCAGGTTCTGGGCTTGGCAGACCACTACACACTCTCTACGCTGAAGCGCTACTGCGAAAGCGTTCTTTGCATGTCTCTCGATGCCTCGTCAGTGTGCTGCTTGCTTCGCTGCGCTGAGAGGTATCAAGCAAAGAAGCTGAAGCAGAGCTGCGTGGAATTCATCTTCCGACATTCTGATATTGTCTCCCAGACACCCGAATTCGAGCAGCTACAGGCCATTCCATCCCTCATGATGGAAATAGCCAAGATGAGTCTCTCCAACCACAGAGCGAGAGCTTCCTTCGGAGCCGTTGCTGCTGCTTCCGAGACAGCACCAGAAAGGGCTCCCGATGTTCGTAGGCAGTAATTGACACACGCACATCACGAGCTGACTGAGGTGCCGGCCTAACACACCCACCCAGTGAGAAAACGGTTTAGTGTGGCGCGTCGTAGGGAAGCAGAACAAAGACCTCTCTGGCCTTTTCCTCCTCCTGGCGTATTTTCCCTTTCTCAGCTGCGCGCAGCTAGGCTGCGGCAGCACCAGAGCAGCAATGCTTGGCTGCTTGTTTGCTGTGCTACGCCTGCGTCTGACGTCTAGCCTCCTCTAGGGCCTGAATTAGAGGGTCGTCTGGGGTGTAGAGAGTACTCTGCAGCAACTCGCTGATCTCGTGCTGCAGAGCTACGCCGACCCCTTGCATGGCGGCAGCGCTTTTGGCGTTGTTCTTGTTGCTGTCACAATCGATAGCGGATGCATGGGCATTGAGGCTTGGAGAAGGGTGGCCTTGCTGCTGCTGCTGCTGCTGGTGCTGCTGCTGCTGCTGCTGCTGGTTTTCAGTAGGGGCGACATTCTCCGCCGTCGTCGTGTCGTGCTGCTGCTGCTGCTGCCGCTGTTGCTGCGTCAGCACGTGGCTAAGGCTTTCAATCTCCTGCTGCACTGCGTGAAGCTTATTCTCCAGTTCGATTTCCCAGGCAGCCGGAGTCAGTTCACGCTGCAGCAGCAGCAACGCCCCCCCGCAGCAGAAGAAAATATACAGTGCGCATCCCTCACGCGGCTGCTTGAACACACAGCAGGAGGAGTTGCTCTTCCTGCCTCCAACAAGGCACAGGCCATGAGCTGGCTGCAGACGACGGTCCTTGGCTGCTTTTTTTGTAGGAGGAAACATGGAGTTTGATTGCCAGGCTGCCTCTGAGCTGAGAGTGCTCTCTTTCGAGCTCGTATCTAACTCGGCCAGAAGAGGGAGAGAGAGAGCGAGGGAGGGAGACAGGCACGGAGAAACCACCATTTGTGTACGACACGCAACAGGCCTAGAGATTTTAGCCTCACCTGTTTAGCTGCCCGTAGCTCCTGCAAAAGAAGCGAGCAGCTCCTGAGAAAGTAGTTCCTCGAGGCAGTCATCGCGTCCAGCTTAAGGGCCAAGTCACGCGCCTGAGAAACTCGCGCGTCAGAAGACAGAGACACCCCCTCCCCCCACCCAAATCATCGCCTGGCAGTGTGACGCTTTTAACGCCTTTCAACCGAATGTTGGAACGCGCCAACCGAAAAAAACCAATTCAAAAGGGGATCTGCTCCGCCCTTCAGACGCCCCCTGCTAGCTACTGCCGGTAAGGGCCGCTAGCTAGCTTGATTACACAACACGACGGCTCGAGGCACATGATACAGCGACGCGAGTTTCACTGGCTTGACTAGGGATTACTTGATAAGTCTTCAGCTGCAGTTGCGCCTTGATCTGGACCAGGGGCGACTCGCAAAGCTCTCTGCGACACTGCGCTGCTTCCGCTTCTGCTGCTGCCGCACGCGCAGCAGCAGCAGCAGCAACAGCTGATGCTTCCTGAAGCTGCTGCAGCAGCAGCCTGCGTGCGTGCACACACACAAAAAACACATATATATACATATACATATATACAGGTATACATACACATACGCATGTATATATATATATATATATATATATATATATATATATATATATATATATATATTCATACATATACATACACATATACACACACATGCATATATACACACACATGCACATATACACATACACACACATACATATACACACACATACACATACACATTCACACACACACATATACACCTACACACACATATATACACATTCACACATACACACATATATATACACATGTCCATACACACATATACACATACACACACATATATACACACATACATATACACATACATATACACACACATATATACACACACATATATACACACATACATATACACACACATATACACGTCCATACATACACATTCACACATACACATGTCCATACACACATATTCACAGCCGCGTCTGCGACGTTTGCCAGGCTTCTTGGTAGTGGTTGCTTCGAGCTTCTGCCATACATAGACCGCATATAAACACGCGCACTGTGGGGAGGGGGAGGCAGCCTGTGCGACTCACTGCTGTTGCCTGGATTCTATTTGGAGCGCATGCTTTGCTGCTTCTTTTGTTTGGTGGCAGTCGGCCACAAGGCGCAGCTCTGCATCTGCAGCGGCTGCAGCAAGCATTTGGTGCTCCTGCTGCAGGCGGCGCTCACGTTGCTGCAGCTGCAAAGACGCAGGAAAACACACATAGCATACTGGAGAGCAATACCCCCTCCAGGAGTAGGGGCTAAAAGCCGTGAAGGCGTCTTTTTTTTCTCTCTTTCTCTCTTTTTCTCTTTCTCTCCTTTTTTCTCGAGCTTCTTCGAATATACAAGGGTCTTGAAAGTCACCTCAAGAGCTTTTTGCTGCAGCTGCTCTGTCATTTCACGGAGTTGTTGCTGCAGCTGTTGCATCTGCTGCTTGCGTTGCTCCACTTCCTGCAGCAAGCGCACCGCTGCCTTTCCCCAGCAGCCCATGCAGAAGAGTGTCGCACGAGCACCCTTCTATGCGTTTGCTGCACAAGCCTCAAAGAGCCATCGCCACGAGGCGAAGCGAGGCAGCCTGCTGCGACGCTCAGGGAACCCCTGCATGCACTTGCATCCTACGTGGAAAGCGCTGAATTTGTGGCGAAGCGGAAAACGCAACAGTGCAAACTGTCTCACTTGAACTCGCTGCAGCTCCCCGCGAGCGAAAGCCTCCTCTAGCTGTTGACGCATAGCCGTTTCAGATCTCTGACAGCACAAGCCACAAGCCGAAAGTCTAACACCCCACGACGTGCGAAGCCTTTGGCTGCAAGTGCCGAGCATGGGTAAATATGTGTGTGTGTGTGTGTGTGTGTGTCTGTGTGTGTGTGTGTGTGTGTGTCTGTGCGTGTCTGTGTGTGTGTGTCTCTTTCTCTCGAGCTGCTTCGCAGCGTGCGTGCGATTGCAGTCCTTTGCGAGGAGACTCTCACCCGCAGCTCTCGCTCAGCGTTCAGTTGGTGGGTGATTCTCCACAGCTCGAACTGCCCCTCAGCGTCTGTACAGACACCACTCCGCGATCTCAGCAGCAGGCGAGATGCAGGCGACAGAAGCCTCTCGACGCAAGGCAGACGCACATGCATGACGGAGGCAAGCCTGCGCCTAGCAGAAACTCACCGAGAATGCCTTGCTGGGCAGGAGGTCTCCTGCTGCTGGGCACTGTATGGACAGCTTCGGAAGAAGCCATGCATGCTGGAGATGGAGCTACACTCGACGCTCGTGCAGCGGAAGCTGAAGCAGCTCCTGCAGCTGCACTTGGCGTGGCTGGCGTTGGCGTCGACGCAGCCGTTGGAGCTGCTTGGGGTGTGGTTGTTGGTGGGGAGAGCAAGTGCTCAAGGTACAGCTGAAGCTGCACTTCTCCTGCAAGCAAAACTCATGCGATGCGCTTTGCAGCACCTCGTGTGCATCTCTCTCGTGAGCAGTTTGAAGTGCTGCGCCTGTCAAGTTTGCGGGCTGTGTGTGTCTCGGCGGCGTCTGTTCCCCTCGCTTCTCCAAGCCTCTTACACACAATGCACACTCACCCGTCACGAGTGGAGGGGGTGGCTGCTGCTGCTGTTGCTGCTGCTGCGGATTGAGCCGCAAAAGCAATCCAAGTTTCTGGTAATTGTGAGGAGCGACGGCGTCCGTTTGCACAGGCTGACGCAGCAGCGGAGAAAGATCGACAGAGGCCTCCCCTAAGCACCAGTCTCCCGATATGCCGCTTCCCTCCGAGAGTGCACTGCTGCTGCTGCTGCTGAACACTTGCAGAAGCAGCTGTGCTGCAGTGAACGACTGCCGCAACTGCTCAGTGGTGGCCTTTAAAGTGTATTCGCACACGCCGTCAGGAAGCTCTACCTGCCGCAAAAGACAGCTACAAACTGCACAGCATGCACCGGCTGCAAAGAACGAAAGAAAGAGAGAAAGAGAAAGAAAGCTGCTGAGAGAGAAAGAAGAGAAAGAAAGGGAGCTGCTGAGAGAGAAAGAAAGAGAAAGGAAGAGAAAGGAAGCTGCTGAAAGAGAAAGAAAGAGAAAGAAAGAGAAGGGAAGCTGCTGAGAGAGAGAAAGAGAAAGAAAGAGAAAGAAAGGGAGCTGCTGAGAGAGAAAGAAAGAGAAAAAAAGGAAGCTGCTGAAAGAGAAAGAAAGAGAAAGGGAGAGAAAGGGAGCTGCTGAGAGAGAAAGAAAGAGAAAGGGAGCTGCTGAGAGAGAAAGAAAGAGAAAGGAAGCTGCTGAGAGAGAAAGAAAGAGAAAGAAAGGGAGCTGCTGAGAGAGAAAGAAAGAGAAAGAAAGGAAGCTGCTGAAAGAGAAAGAGAAAGGAAGCTGCTGAGAGAGAGAGAAAGAGAAAGAAAGGAAGCTGCTGAGAGAGAAAGAAAGAGAAAGAAAGGAAGCTGCTGAAAGAGAAAGAAAGAGAAAGAAAGGAAGCTGCTCAAGGTTCTACGATGCCATAAAGCCCCCGTTGCTGCATATCCAGCAGATCATTGTCTTGGCTAAAGGACAGGCTGTCTAGACGGACCGCATTTCCGCCGTTGCAGTTTACAGGCGGGTAAGAAGTGAAAACATGCTTGTTGCCGAAGGGAGAGTACTTGTAGTGCACATGCACCCGCTGCAGCAGCTGCTGCACGAGAACTGCGCTTGCAGCATCTTCCCTATCGGCAGCAGCACGCAGCTGGAGACACACGCAGTCTATGTAAAGCCTCCAATGCTGCTGCTGTTGTTGCTGCACCACTTTCCGTCCACTCTGCTGCTGCTGATGGTATGGCTGTAGTTGGCTGTGCTCCTGCGTGGTGTTGGAAGGAGGCATGCAGTCGTTGGATAGGGCTTGCTGCTGCTCAGAATCCTGTGGCAGAAGCTCTGCTGCCTGCTGCAGCGGTTTTTTTCCAGGAAATTCACTGCTAGCGCTGTGACAACTGCCCTGGGGTGCAGAACTGCTGCTGCTGCTGCTGCTTTCAGCAGCAGGAACGGCGCTAGGAAGCGGCTCTGCAGCAGTGAAAACAGCACAGTGGGTTTCTGCCTGCAGCATGAGACAGCAGCTTCAGTAAGACAGCGCGCAAAGTTCATCGCCAGAGTAAGCCAAACTCACAGAAAAGCCGCAGCACACACCTCAAGTGCACCTACATACCTCCTGGCAGCGTAGAGGTGTCTATGCTCTCCAGATTGGCGATTAAGGCCTGGCGGTGCTGTCCACGCTGTCCATACACTACAGCTGAGATAGAGTGCTCCGCCTGTTGCTGCAGCTGCTGCGATCGCCTCATCTGTTGTTGCACGGCAGTGATCAGCGGCGACAAGTCCACTGGCAGCCCAGCGCCATGCTGATGCGGCTGTTGCTGCTGTGGTGCCTCTGCAAGTAGCAAAGGCTGCATCCTCTGCAGCTGCACTACAGCCTCCTGGAAGTCTTGCGCGAGCAGCAAGCAAAATCTGCTGCTGCTGCTGGCGCTGCTGCTGCTGCTGGCGTCGCTGCTGCTAGGGACGCACGTGCGGAGAGCAGAGCCGATGCAGACAACGAGGGGCCCCTTACCTGCCACGGCAGCAACCAAATCGTGTACAACTCTCTGATAGCTGCATCGTGAACGTTCAAATTCTGCGGGCTGAACGGTTGCTCTGAGTGCAGACCACAAGAGGGGGGTTGCTTACTTTCTGTAGGCGTGGGTTCGCGCTGAAAAGACAAGAAGAAGCACTTGCTGCTACTGCAGCCGCTGGCGCGTGGCAGGTGCTGCAGCTGCTGCTGATACTGCTGGCGCACAGTCAGGTGTATAGACAGCTGAGGGCCTCCATCCGTAGGGTCCAACTCGGTGGAGTATATCCTGCTGGTGGCTGCTGCTGAAAGCCTCCCTCCCCCCGTAAGCCCCTCCTGAGTTCGAAGCTGCTCCTGCTCTTGCAGCGCCTCTGTCTCAATAACGTCGCGAACTGAAAAAGCCACGTATCTGTCTTCCCGCTTTCCTTGCTGGGTCTCGTGGGGGGTGATTACGAGGAAGATGTCGACTTTTTCGCGCAAAAAGTCTAAGACCTCATCAAGCTGTCCGTACAGGGCAGCTGTGAACACATTGTCGGGACGTGGCTGCTGCTGCAGCAGCCGATAGAAGCGACAGACAGCAGGGGCCGCTTCTCCTAGATCGGCAATTGCCGTTGCTTCGCTTCCAGCTACATCCGCAATGAGAACTTTGGATCTTCTGCTGCAGCCACCGCCGATGCTCGCAGGCTCTCCGATGACGGAGAATTGGAATTGAACCTCCACGCTGGGCAGCATCATCCGTGCATGCCGAACGCTAGGACTGCGTGCATGCAATGGACTGAAGGGGCCCCAACATACCTGTCTTTAAAAGATGTGCCAATTGATTGCTAAGCCCTAAGGCTTAAAATTAAGGTTCTGTGCGCGCGGGAGCAGTGGAGGCGCAAAGCCAAGCTTCCCAGGCTCCAGTGCCGACTCGCCGGCAAGAGATGCTGGCAGCGGAGAACTCTCGCTTTACCCGCCACGACACCAAATCAAATACCGACACCAAGCCCCAGCCCGCATACATTTTGCTTTTAAGACCGTTTCCTTCATTATTTTGCGTTGAACTGCGCCGGGGTGGTTGCAACGACCACACCGGGGCCCTCCCGCGAAGAGGGTGATGCGTCCAGTAGGGGGCCCCCCCAGCAAGGGGGCCCCCCGCTACCCCGGGGAGGCTGCGCCTGCCGACCGACGGCAAAACAGACTCTGTAGTTCAAAGTGTCTGGGAGACACTGAGTCTTGAGCTCCCTTTTGGACTGCAACTATCAACCCGCCTCGCGGGAAGGCGAAGCGGCGATGCAGAACACGTCACACAGCATGCATGCCAGCTCGCACATCGGGGTCTACCCGTAGAAGCTTCGAGGCTTTAGAGCAGCCTCTCCAGAAAGGCGAATGCCCAGTCTGTTGCAATATGACTGCGCCTGGCGAGTCGATGCAGCCGCCAATGAAGAAGCCTTCTGCGATTTTTTTTTTGCTCCCGTGGCTGTCTGTACTGCCGCAGCAGCCAGTGTGGAGCAGCCTTCCAGGGGGTTCTGCTGCGGCGTCTGCTGCAGTGTCTGCTGCAGTGTCTGCTGCGGTGTCTGCTGCGGCAGCACGCGCTCAGCAAGATTGGGAGGGCCGCCTCAACACTTCAGCGCCTTGCAGACCCCTGCATGCAGTAGCCGCAAGTGCCTCTACAACCAGCTGCCTAGCGGGCGGCCAGAAGATGACAGCAGAGACGTCGGCATGCCGTTTGCCGCATGCCTTCTGCACTTCTGCGTGCGGCAGCCCTCCTCCCGCCAGCCTGCGCAGCTTCAGCAGCAACACTAAACCCAGGGAAGGCGTCATCAGACAGGCTCGACGCTACGACACTCTGCTGCATCCATTCGAACAGGCTGCTCTCGCAGAAGCAGCGACGCCTCAGAGAGACAGCAGCAGAAACTGCAGCAGCGACGGCTGCTGCGTTGTCACGCTGTCGGGTGTGGAAGAGCTCAAAGGGATCTCAGATCCTGAAGGATTGCAAACCTTTGGGGTTGGAGTCTTGCAGTCTCTCGGGCAAGTAGCCTTTAGCCTTTAGCCTTTGAAACATGAGCACCCATCTATTACCCGTGCAGATAGGCCCCCCTTAAATCCCTTAACGGCTTCAAATTTCTTCCGCAGCGCTCGTTTCGACGCCTCTGTTGGTGCTGCTGCGTTTCAGCCTGAAGAAAAGCCACGTGCATGTCCGCTGTGTTGGCGAGAAGGAAATGCAACAGATTCGCAATGCGTATCCTCCAAGGCGTGGGAGCAGTTGCGCTGGCAAAGGCAGCAGGAGCAGGAGCAGGAGCGGCAGTTTCCGCGACTCCGAAGCGACAGACGCATTATCCTTTGCCGCAGTAGATTCAGAACGGTTTCGAAAGCGGCGAGAGATTTTTCTGAGGGCAGCTCGATTGGCAACGCATGCGGCTGTGGCAGAGAGCGCGGCAGCGATGCAGGCAGCAGAATTCAGAGATCAGATGCATCAGGAACTGCGGTGTATCCGCAGGCGGACTCGGCAAACGTTTTTAGGAGACATTTTTTTGTGCCCCTGTGAGAAAGTTTCGAAAAAACAAAATTTTGGTGCTTTCTAACTACCGAGTTCCTTACCCTAATGCTTCGTTTCGTTTGCGTGTTGGAGTCTACGCGGCAAGTGGCGAGCAGGCGCTGGGTGCGGAGCTGCTGCGCCTGTGTGTGCTGCAGCTGTGGTGTACAGACAGCAGCAAGAGGATAGGAAGCAGGCTGAAGCGGCTGCTTTGCAAGACGCCGAATGCGAGACCCTCCCTTCCAAGTGCGTTCCTCTCCCGTTAGTAAAACTGCTCCCTTGTTGGCATGCAGCACCAAGTGCAGCTGTCCATCTGTCTGTACACTTGCGGTCTGGGTGCCGTCATTGGCTGTATGTGTGTGTGTATACACCACCTTTGTTGGGACTGTGGCTACCGCTGGTGCGCTGTGTTGCGGCTCTTGCAGAGGGGTGCTTCGGCGTCTGCTTCAGTCTGGACTTACGGAGGAGAGGCTTCAACTCCTCGTTGTACACTCCATGTTGCACCTCATTGGGTAGGCTCGAGAAAAAGGCTTCTGGGTTCACGCGTCGTCTTTAAAGGCGTGTCAAGCGCGAAACTTGTTGAGGCTCTTCCCCCCCGCACTGCTTCTTCCAAGAGACTCCTCGCTGGTCCTAATGGACTGGGCAAGCATGCGATGCGCCTTTTAAGGTTTGAGGCGTCGAGGCGAGAGAGAGAAAGGCTATAAACAGCTACTTGCGCGGCTTTTTTCCGTGTGGACCTAGGTTTGCACACGCCACGCCAGAGGAGACTGCGGATATGCGGGAAGCCGAGGAGTTCTTGTGTCTCTTGACGCCGCCCAGCCCCTTCAAGTAGGAAAAGGAAGCTTCTCTAAGCTCGTAACTCGTCTGCCTCAGAAACGCATGCTAGCGAAAAGCCTGTTTCTGACACGGATTTCCATAGGTCCCCCATCCCCCCTCGGCTCTCCCCTGGAGGTCAACCAACGCACGAAAACGCGATGTACATGCAGAGCACCCCTGTTCTAATGCGCATGCAATCTAGAGTTTGCGGCGTCGCAGGCTTCGCGTGGCTGGCGTGGGTACAGACATCGTGTCCACTGACAGATTTCAGAGAACGATCCGCTCCCTGCTCGCCGCAGACGAACTAGCGGCAAATAGGGCTTTGCAGACGCACCCGCCGGAGGCTGCATGCACAGCAGCTGCAGGAACTGCCCCTGCTGTGCATGCAGCCTCCGGCGGGTGCACCTGCAGTGCCATGTGTCGGTACACGTCGCGGCTGTTGTCTCCTATTGAGGCCGCTCAGTTGCGGAGGCTACAGCCAACACTTTTCGCTGCGCACTGGACCTTGCGGCGGCAACAGCGAAAGCCGCAACAGCTGCAGGGCATGCAGAGCACCCCCTCTACCACCCTCAGCAGCAGCACAGCGACAAAAACACCTTCTTCCTCCGACGTGGGAAGGCCTGCTCCTGCTCCTGCTCCTGCGGCAGCCATCCGAAGTGCAGCGAGGTTCTTAGGGAGACGCTTTGCTGCGAAGGAAGCAGCAGCAAAGGCTCTCGGGGTTGGCCTCCGCATCCTGAGCCCAGGTATGCATTAACGCAACACAGCTTCAGAGACGTATTGTTGTACCTCCATACACACCTTGTATGTGCATGCGCTGCACTAGCCGTAGCGCTTTTACGCCGAGATTCACAGTCCAACGCGTCCCCCTGCACACATGTAGGCAGGTGGCAAGACCCCTTAGAAAAAGGATTCTCCTGGCCTTTGTTTCACTCTTTCCTTGACGGCGATTTTCCTCTACATGCCACCCTGTTGGCGCTGCTGCTGCGGTTGACAGGCGGCTTGTCTCTCAGTGAAATAGAAGTGCAGCACTTGGCAGAGGGGAAGCCGCTTCTGCTCCTGCGAAACAAGGCCGAAGCCATGCGGCGCTTAAGGCATGTGAGGGCCATGCTTCTCTCTAGCGCAGATGATGCTGGCATCGCAACTGCGCAGGTTATTGCGTGCTGCTGAGCACTAGCTCCCGCAGCAAAGGGTCCGTCTGTGCCGGGAGAGGGTTGCGCCAGCACAGCGCAGTTAGCCATCATCCTGATTTTTGTAGAGCAAGCGATCGATGCGGGCTGCAGTGAAAATACGCGCCGCTACGCTTGGCGCTGCCGTGGTCGCTGTGCCGCAACAAAAGCGCGTGCAGCAACTGCAACTGCGGTAGTATTTTTTTGCAAGGTGTGTGGGCACCCACAACTTCCTTCCTTTCCCTCTCCCCTCTCCTCCTTAAACTACGAAACTATCTCTGCTAATGCGAAGGCTCCTGCGTGGCGTGCCGTGTATCTCCCAAGTTTAAGTCGCAAAGCCGTTTTTGCACGTAGGCGCGCGTATGTACACTGGAGAGCGCAGCAGCTGCTGCTGCGCGTTCTTCCCAGAAAGTCTCGCCAATGTTTCCTCCTGCTGTTGCGACCGACCCCTACCTTGCTGGTGTCGTGAAAGTGTGCAAAACGCTCTCGCGAATCCCCTAGGCCTTGTTGTCTGTTGCTGCTGCCGACGAAGAGGCCTCAGCTGCTGGCTCTTCCAACCGGCGCGCTGTTGCTTGGCCTCCCCGCGATGCTGCTGCTGCTGCTGCAGTCTGTGCTGCTGCTGCAGCTGGTTGCTTTGAAGCTGCTGCCTCCGCTGCTTCGACCTTCCCTACGGGAGTCTCACCCGCTGCTGCTGCTGCTGCTGTGATGTCGGGTGTCTCCCCACGTGCCTCGGCAGCTGCCGCTGCTGCAGCCTTTTCGGAGGACCTATCATCAGCACCACTAGGTGAGTTGCTGTCTTTTCGGCCGCTTCCCAGCGCGTCGGTTAGTCGTGACTTGAAGGCGTCGACGCGCGAAGAAACCCCCTATGCAAACAGCGCCGCATAGCAGCTATATATGTACATATATATATATATATATATATATATATATATATATATATATATATATATATATATATATGTCTATGCACCTCAGAACGGCCGCCACGAAGTTTTGACTGCCTCCATGGCAGCTAATATTTGAGCGCATTTAACAGCAAATGCCGCTCTCACGGCCTTGCGCATCCCGAAAATACACAAAGAAAAACGCTTCGCTTGTTGCTGACCTGAAGCGATTCTCCCTTAAAGAGGGCGAAGCAATGCCCGTGACGGTACACCGCCTCTCGCACAGGGGCATACTTCTCCCCTGCATGCAAATCGCAATTTTTTTGTGCTTTCCGCATTCCTGTTCCTCACGCTTTGCAGAAACGATCCCCTTACATCGTGCGTTGCTCGACACCCCCCCCTCCCGAAAAGTGTCCAGCCACTCTCCTGTACAAACCGCCTCCTTCCCAGCCGGAGGCAATGGTTTGGAGCTGAGTGATTGCATGCTGTGCGACATAGCGTCAGACACCCTCCCCATCCACCCCTACACGCGAACACACACCAGTCTCGGGAAGCGTCTCGCTGTCTAGACACACGGCCGCGAGAGAATCCAACTCGAGATTCAGGCTTTCAGCCTCGTCGAGAAACGCAGAAAACTCCTCCAAAAGCCCCAATGGTGCGGATACATCGTTGCTGTTGCCGCTGCTCGTGGCGGGAGAGACGAGGCAGAGGATGAACGCGTCCATGCCTTCGCAACTTTCTAGACGAAGGGCGAACTCTGGCCACGAAGACTGAGAACCCCCAATTCACACATAAAACGCACTTCCTAGTCTCCCCAAATCCAAGCTTTTCCCCCATTTCCCCCCTCTGCCCCCGCAGACAGACGGAGGACAGACCTTAAGAGCGTTCCAAAACTAGAGGTGGCGTGATCAACTCCCATTTCAGAATCTCACACTTGCACCACACCCCTACCTGTTGCAGTCGCTTATGGCAAACCGCCACAATTGGATCCAGCGTCCGTCCACGCCTCAGCAAATCAAATATCCGTTCCGAATGGTTTTGGTCAATAGCCGCTTTCTGCGCGCCCACGCAGTTACACACCGAACATATGCATACATACATGCACACATACAGATGGACATAAATATTCATATAGATATATATATTACATATTATGTATTCCATGTACATATTACATACACATATTGCATATTACATATTCCATATACATATTGCATATTGAATATACATATTCCATATACATATTGCATATACATATTGCATGTACATATTGCATATACATATTACATATACATATTGCATATACATATTACATATACATATTGCACATACATATTGCATATTGCATGTTACATATTACATACTGCATATACATATTGCATATTACATATACATATTCCATATTGCATGTTATATATTACATATACATATTGCATATTTTACATATTCCATATACACATTACATATTCCATGTACATTTTACATATTCCATATACACATTACATATTCCATGTACATACACAGCAGTAGCAGCAGCCGAAGAGACTCAACACTCGACTTGTGTCTTGTGAAGATGCCCAGTGTATCCACAGGCCAGCACGCACCGAACCCTGATCCCTACTGCACTGGCGTTTGCAGCATGCAGAGGCATCCTGGGGTATTGCATTTTTAAGACGACACCTTGGATACTTGGTGCGTCTGGCAGCGGGAGTATGTGTGCGCCGCTTGAGCATATTTCGGTTAGAGACGCTTATTTGTACGATTTGAATCGCGAGGTTCTACGGCACGCTACCTTGGCCTTGAATTCGGGATCTCGAGAGTGAACGGCAATAGCCTGGAGGAAAATCAGAGGCGTCAGCACCAGCTGTTGTTGGCTTGGAGCGTTCTGCTTCTGCTGCCTTTCATGTTGCAGCAGCAGCTCTTCTTCCTTCAACACCGCAGTTTCCGCTTCGGTGTTGCTATCCTGCAGCTGAGAAGTGATGACGGGTGTAGCACCCTCGGAAGACAGCTCTGCGCAGCGGCCGAAAGGATAGATTCCACAAATATGCCTCCCTTTGGAAAGGTGCCGTGGATGCAGACAGCGAAAGTGCAGAGGAAGGAGGGAAAACCAGAGCGAGAGAGGGAGAGAGGCGGACTGTGTGAAGCTCTGAGAATCGCGTCTTTCGACAGGTTAAACAAGGCTACAAGAAAGAGGGTGGTGATTTTGGGAGGGATGCGGCTAACACGCCGAAGCTTCCGTTTGGGGTTGAAGAATTCTCACCCTTGTCACTGGTGGATTGCAAAATCTCTCTGAACTTTTGCTCTTTGAGCCTCTGAATTTTGTGGAGGATCTGCAAGACGCGTTCTTGCGTCAGCTCTTCAGGCAGCTCCAGTCCTGCAGCCAACAATGTCATGGGCGTCTTACCCGAACCGATACAAATATACACGCCCTTCTGTACACCCCCTCATTCTCCCCTGCCCCCCCTCAACAAACGTTCACACGCAGTGACGGCGCTCGCAGCCTCAAGCAGCACAGAAAATCTCGGTGCAAGCCACCCCTCCAGATGCCCCTAACAAAGGAGCAGCAACAAGTCAACATCTGCCGATTTTGGTATGCCTCAGCGAGTGTGTCGAAGGAACGCTCAAGGGGGCGAGAAGAAAGAAAAGGCAAAGCGCATGAACATAACCTTGAGGTGAAAACATACCAGGGAGCAGGGGGAGAATGCCTTGAACGGAGTCTTCATGCATTTGCCGCAAGCCTGCAACGAGCTGCTTAACTTCGAGATCCTGCAAGGCTCCAAACACACGAAAAAACACTCATTGAGTAAGCATGCCGGAGGGGTCGCCACGCACCCTGTGTGGCGCATGCAGGCGCTCAAAGCCGCGGAAATTCAGCAACTGAGGGGTGTAAAATGAAGTGCCCTTAGGATCTGTGAGAGTACATTTTGTGCGAGTCGCGTGCATCGCTCTTCAAAATACTTTGCAGATATCCCAGCCTTTCGTAGAGCTCCCGACTCTGCAGCCTCCAGGCGTGAATGCAGCATCCTCTGGAGCGTGACTGCCTCCATCTGCAAAGGTGAGCCACTCCCCCGAAATCAAGAGAGGGTTGTTGCATGCGTTTCCAAGCGGAGCGCAAGACCGTCGGACATGCGACAGCTCGAGACGCAAGAAGACGGGTGCCCCCTCTCGGTAAACTGCTGCACTCTTGGGATCGAGACGAGGGCATGCAAGCATGCGCAAGGAGGGAAAAGGGGGAACAATGTGTGAGCGTACTGTCTCACGGAGACTCCGAGGAGTGGGCCGACCCTTCCCCTTCGCCTGAAGACTGGAGAGAAGGTTTGATGTCATCCTGAGTGCGGAGTGTCATGACACTTGTACCAGACGTTTGGACGCAAGCTACTGCCTTCCATTCGATGCCATAAACCACGATGCAATTCGTGTGGTCTCGTGCTGTAAATGGGGATGCAAAAGTCCACTTACTTGGTGTATATGTATGTGTACATGCATGTGTATATGTCGGTGTACATGTAGGTGTGTGTGTAGGTGCATGGGTTTGTGTATGCAGGTGTATGCATGGGTGAGCATAGGTGTATGCAGGTGTATGTATGTATGAGTGTGTATCCAAAGTGCGTGTGTGCATGTGTGTATGCGTGTGTATCCAAAATGCGTGTGTGTTTGCAAAATGTGTGTACGTGTGTGCCTGTAGACTCTTAGACAGGCAGGAGGGCGGTATGGGTTTCTTGCTGGAGTGCGAAGTTCAGGCTATTGATGAGCTTACTGGGCGGCTTCAGCGAAGATTTTGTGGAATTCCTTGACAATGGTTCTTAGGATAGCCACGAGTTCTTCATCGCTGCATTCTTTCTGCTTGGAGGTGGTAATGCCGCTACCACTGGTCAAGCAGAATACTGTCGCAGCACCAGCAACTGCAGCCACTGCCCAAAACAGCCGTGTGTTGTTTCCTTCCTTTAGGAGCTGAGAAAGGGAGGTCCCCATTGCTGCTGCGGGCTTTGCTGTTGCGGTGCGGCTGTATACTGTGAGATCTCCGGTGTATTTACGCGGCGGCAGACTTCTTGGAATGGCTGCCTCGGAAGGCTGGCTGGCCGTTCGTTGGGGGGTCAGAAGATGGGCGCGGAGGGTGTTCTCGTTGTTGCTGCTGGTCAAGGCGTGGGGGTTGCTGCAGCGCTGGTGTCTGCAGAGCTTCCTGTGAAGACATACACTTTCGAAACTGCCTTCCTGAAAGGCATGCATGAAGATTGCCACTGACCTCTCAGCGATGGGGTGCAGTCGCAGCCGCAGCCGCGAACCCTCGGGCTGCGCGACGCGGGCTGCATGCGTTCCTGCAGCCTTAACGGCAAGACAACATTGTTTTGGAAGAAGAAAGCTTTCTTCTTTTGTTTCCCCTCATTTCAGAGGCGGCGTGTTGCACTGCGCCAAAGCTGTTGCAGAGGCTTGGCAGCTCCAAGCCCGCCGCCTTCCAGCGGGTTGACATTCGAGCGCGGAAAACTTTGGAATTCAAGAAGCGCTGCAGAGGGCGGAGCATGCAGAATGAAAATTTCCCTTCGAGATGTTGTAGTGCTCTGCGTCTGTACTGCCTCGCCGGCCCTGATCTTCTATTGTGCGTGAACTCCCGTTGTACACTGAAGCTCGTAGCCGCCTAAAGATCGAATTTAGCCGTCCACGCAGCGTTCCACGACCTACTTTTGCGGCCGAACGCTTCATCCCCTGTGCATGCATCCTGCGGTTCAAGGGAGCATTTCATGGTTCCAAGTCGTGCGCTGCCGTTTCCCTCGTGCGTGTTGCTGCAGCGGTCGTCAGTCAGAAGAAAGAAGATTACGCACGCCGATTTTCAGGAGTCATCAGAGATCTAGAAAGACGCAAGCATCGGCAGCGGCAGCAACACCCCTTGAGCCAAGCGCAGCAGGGGCAGCAGCAGCAGCGGCAGCAGCAGCCACAGGAGCTTTGAGGCTCTCAGGCCTGCAACGATCTGGATAGAGACACCTGCAGCAGCCGCAGCAGCACAAGCGAGGCTCAGCGGCAACAGGGATGGCAGCGTTCGTCGCCAACAGAACGTGCAGCTGCTCCTTCCGCACCGCTCAGCTGTACGTGAGGGGGCTCTCCGTCTCAGCAGCTCCTGCGATCGCGAAGACTTCCGCAAACAGCGTGGCAGTAGCCACAGTGGCAGCGCCATGGGTTGGAAAAACTTCTGCAGAAGGAGGAGCGGCAGTTCGCATAACGGGGATGGCATGGCAGTGCATGCCAAGGGCCAAGAGCAGCCGCACGGGTTGCTGCTCAGCAGCAGCAACCCTGCGCAACATGGGCAGTATTAGCAGCAGAAGCAGCAGCAGCAATAGCACGCGACAGTCTGTTTTGCATAATGTTTCGCCCATGCGCGTCGCAGCATCGGGTATAGAGTCTGCGAGACTGCAACAGCACTTCATATACCACCGGCAGCAGCAGCAGCAGCAGCAGCAGCAACAGCAGCAGCAAGAGAAGCGGAGGCGCAGGATTAAGGGCCGCGTGGCTGCCCTTGTTGTTGCGTTCACAGCAGCAGCAGCCGCAGCCATCGTGCTGCTTGTTCAGAACTGGCAAGATGATTACCCCACGCAGGTGCAGAAGCTAGAGGAAAAGCTCAAGAAGCAACAGTATATCTAAGGGTTCACGGCGTTGCGCGCTGGCATTTTCCCTGCAGCTGCTACACATAGTTGCCGTGCTGCTTTCTTGCTAAAGAGCCCTTAGTGTGTATAGTTAGGAAGGGGTTTACACGCGTTGGCACCGCGCTAGTCTGGAGCAGACACAGCTCAAACCACCATGCAACCGATACGTTTCACTCGCTTTCGCCTTCACCGATGGCATGAGTACTGGCCTTGTGTTCAGCCAGGGGCACCCCTGGACGAGCATGAGGCGGCTGTATCTGTCGTGGTTTGTGGTAGCTCGCATCAGCTAGTAGAGGATATGGCTTCCTCTCAGCTATTTGGCATCCTTCCCTCCCCCTTGCCTATGTAGAGCACGTCCTCTTGGTGCACTTGCGTCTAAATGCAACACCTGTGTTGCATTTAGGCAGCTTGCAAATAGCAGTCTGCCGCTTGCTGAGTCTTTTCCAAAAGACCACAGAATCCTCGTCGTAGAACCTTCCGACCCAGCAGTAGGCAGAAATTCTGGCTACACGTGCTGTCCATACACTCGAGGGGCCGGCACACCCTACAGGAGGCCCCTCCTTGGCCGTAGGGCACTTGCTCCTGAACCGTCGCTTCCAAGGACGAACACACACAGCCGTATTAGCCCTCCCTCTAGGAGCTGCAGCACGAATACAGAGGGAGCGAGAGGTGTGGGGTGTGCTTTGCTGCCCTCTTGCGCTGTCTCGGCATGGGGAGCCCTCTGAGGCCGTTCCCCCCTTCCCCCCAAGCGCCTTGCGTGGCAAGTTAGGGAGTGGCAGTTTGCAGGAGGTCTCTGGCTTTCTCCACATCGACCCACAAGGCTTAGATTCAAGGGAGAGGAGACCGCCTGGGCAAGTGTTGATCTACCGTTGAACACGAAGCGTAATGACACCCTAATCTAGTTACGACGCAGAGGCGCTCTGCACACGCTATTACCCACTGCGCATTGTTTGCTTTCAAGGAATCAAGTAGCCCAAGCCTGAAACGATCAGAATACGATTATCACCAGCGACTGTCACCCACTGCCAATGCATGCCTAAGTCCTGACGAAATATGAGGAGTACATATCTATACGTGTGCTGGCGGGTGACAGGCTTCGCCGATGCATACTGCCCGCAGATGAATTCCCAGCGGGATCGCGCAGGTAATGGCTCGCCGTAGTACAATCCATTTATTCGGTTAGGTGCATCTAGCTAGCACCTTGTCTCTTCTTATTCATGTGCAATCATGAGCCGTGGCCGTGGGTAGAAAAGCGGCCAAAATCTGCACTTTGTGCGGCTCTTCCTGCTATGTGCCACAGTATTTCGGCATAAATTGCGCCAACAAATCCGTACAGCAGGATTGAAGCCTTGCAGTCATTGTCCATTAGGAGTCTGCAAAGCAATGTCGGATATCTCGGAGGGCACGGCGCCAGCAGTAACGCGTTGCGCCTGCTGCCTTCGCGAGAGTATGTGCATTCCTTTTCCTTCCGACGGCGAACACGTGTCAGATGCCTGTCGTTAATGAAGCACTTGGTGCTGATGCCTGCGATGCGCATGCAGCAGCGTAGATACGTCTTCGGTGTCATGCAGCGCAGCCGCAGCTGCTGGTACAAATACTTCAGCAGCAGCTCTCAACAGCTGCGGCTTCTATGGCTCGCGCTCCTTTTAGTCCTGCAGTGTGTATATATATGCTCATAAGCTAAATGATCCTTGTTTTAGTTTTTTTGTGCGACTTCTTGCTCGCCTTTGTTTGCTCTTGAAGGTAGAGGGCCTCTCTCGGTGGGGTATAGCAGCTCGTACCCTGGCCTTGTTGATTCCTCTTGTATGGTCGCTTCTTCGCTCCTTCTGCCGCCCATTTTAGCGTCAGTTTTTCATATATGGGACGGGCACAATCACTGCCACTGGTCGCTGCTCCTGCTCTTCTATTTACTCGCCTTCGGGGAGAGGGCTCACCGTGCCGATACCCTGCTGCACGATACACCTCAGCGAAGCACCCTCAGGACAGAGATCCTGTTCGTGAAACGGAGGAAAGACAGGTTGCCTGTTGATGACTGTGTTGTGGATGGACGCTTTCGCCCCCGTTGTCGCTTCAGACAGCAGCAGCAGGGGGAGTAGTACCAGCCTCTGTCGCACACTCCGCAGCCGCAACAGCAGTTGTTGCATAACCTCTCTGCCTGAAGATCCAGGTGTATCTGAGCCCTCCAATGCCGCAGCCAAATCCTCCCCCCGTCGGTGCAGCCTCATCCGCTGCGCCTAGTGGAGCCACTATCGGCCCCTATAGACTCGGTTCAACTCTTGGGGTCGGCACATTCGGCAAAGTCCGCTGTAAGCAGTCCATGCTTGTTAGTAGTCCTCTCCTCCATGTGCTTCAGCTCTTTCACGTCTTCCCAGGGAAGTAGGCGCGCGGCTAGAGGTTGCTTTCCTCTTTTTCCCGCTTTCAGCGTTGCACCGGCTCGCTATGACGGTGGACAGACACCGCGGGGCAACAGACGCTGTTACAGCCTCCTCCCTTCTCTGATCCTTACCGTATCCATGCTAAAGAAGAGGGTCTGTCTCTGAGCGCACGTGGCAGATGCGCTTCCACACATACACACACATACACATATACATACACACTGCTGGGGCTGTTTTTTTTCGTTTCACTTTCAAGCATTCTATCCCCTGCGTGCCAATTGCAATCAGTGGCTGTCCATGAGACGACGGGTCAGAAGGTGGCGATAAAGGTCATCAACAAGACAAAGATGGAGGCCATGGAAATGCTCGAGAAGATTCGAAGGGAGATCTCAATCCTTGACTGCCTTGATCATCCGCACATCACGAGGCTTTATGAGCTCATCGACACCCCAACAGACATCTTCGTTGTGATGGAATATGTGGCCGGTAAAGAATTTCAGAATTTGGTCGCTCTGACACAACCTGGAAGCTCCTTATCACTAGCGAGGGGGGGTATCCCCACGACTCGCTTCCTGTGCTTCCCTCTCTTGCCGCGTGGTCCTCCCTTGAGGGGCTTAGCAAGAAAAAGGCATGAGGGAAACTATCACATTCAGGAGTGACTGCGCATGCGTTGAGCTCGAAATGCGGTAATTTAGGGGGTAGCTGTGCGTCCTCCTTGCGTGCCTGCATCGATCGCGTTCAGGAGGTGAGCTGTTTGACCACATCATACAAAAGTCTCGTCTCTCGGAGTCGGAGGCGAGGCGGTTCTTCCAGCAGATTGTTTCTGCAGTAGAGCATTGTCATCAACATCTGGTGCGCAGTCCACAGTCCCTTGATCTGCGACCCTTAGCGGCATGCAACTCGTGCGATGCTGGCTTTCTAAACGCTTTCCCATGCGGATTGCCCGGTGGTTCCATGCATGGAGACTGCATGCAGAGTTTCAAGTTTGAACCAGCTAGATGAGCGCTAAGGATGTACGCGTGTATGTATGTCTGCCTGGGTGTGGATATATATAATTCTATGCAGATATGCCATCGCGATCTGAAACCAGAGAATGTGTTACTCGACGAGAACCTCAACGTGAAAGTTGGCGATTTCGGCCTTTCCAACTTCATGCGGTAAGCTCTGAGTTCTCAGACTTCCTTAGGTTACGCACTGAAGCTGATTTTATGTAGGGGGTGTGTAAAGGGGGAGGGGGGAATGCAATGAAGCTCTCATCATAATTTGGGGAGGTGAAGAGGGAGGGCACTGAAGCTCTCATTCTCTATAGGGAGGTGAAGAGGGAGGGCACTGAAGCTGGGGAAGAAAGGAGGCAGTCAGAGATCTTTGAGGAAACTCAGTTCTTGGCGGCGTCTGGCCTATCGTTTGCTAGAAGGGCTTTACTAGGAGCATAAGGCATATGATGCATGTGCCCCCCCCCCCCCCCCCCCCCCCCCCCCCCCCCCCCCCCCCCCCCCCCCCCCCCCCCCCCCCCCCCCCCCCCCCCCCCCCCCCCCCCCCCCCCCCCCCCCCCCCCCCCCCCCCCCCCCCCCCCCCCCCTCCCCCCCCCCCCCCCCCCCCCCCCCCCCCCCCCCCCCCCCCCCCCCCCCCCCCCCCCCCCCCCCCCCCCCCCCCCCCCCCCCCCCCCCCCCCCCCCCCCCCCCCCCCCCCCCCCC